AAATAGGGGGCCCCCACTTTGAAGTCACCCCCCCCCGATAGGTGCCGGTGCCGGTCACTCAGGCAAAGGCACTAAGCGTCTTCAGATCACGCATCGTTAAGCTGCGAGAGAAATGAAAACCAGAACAAGGATGCAGAAGAACCCAGGAGACATGAGTGTGCGGAAATAGCCACAACTTAATAAGCACATTAATGCCACCGCCTGACGTGTGTGATAATGTATGCAGCTTGGGATCCCTGTTTACATACACAATGAATGTTAACGAATCGGCTGCTGTTTATTTATGAGGATGTGAGAAGGAACTCGGAATGTTTTTTAGGGGACTCTGTGTGTGTGTGTGTGTGTGTGTGTGTGTGTGGGGGGGGTGGTTCTGTGCTCTATACGGAATGGGTGTGTGTGTGGGGGGGGGGTTACGTGCCAGGTGCCCATCCTCCCTGCGAGGTGTGTGCGTGCAGCTGTGTTTGTGTGTGCCGCGTGAGGGCTAACAAAGCAGAAATGACAGTAATTAACTAAACGAGCTAGAGAGGCACCTGGGGGGAGTAGCTTTCGCCTTTTCTTAATCAGAAATGGACAGAGAGAGAGAGAGAGAGCAGAGAAAGGGACAACAGGATAGATGGAGGGAGAACAAGCCTGGGGAGAGAGTGAGCGTGGTATAGAGATGGAAGGAGGGTACGGTAAGAGCAGGATGGAACGAGGGAGGGAGAGAGAGAGAGAGAGAGAGAGAGAGAGAGAAAACAAACACAAGACGAGCAAAAACAACCGACACAGAAACACTGTATTTTTGGTAACAGACAACAGAAACAGTAAAGATTTGACATGAAATATGTTAAAGGGATAAAAAAAGTGTAAAGAATAGGAGAGGAGGAGAAGAAGAGAGAGGGCAGATACCTGGGCAGAGCGAGCAGGCTGCAGGGAGCTGAAATGCGTTCAGCACAGACCAGAGCAGACTGACTGCTGTTAAGGACTAATTAATGCTCTGGTCCCTGTCCGGCCAAACAAGAGGCATGCTGCCTAGGTTCGTAAATAAGGGACTGAGATGTGCAGCGTGAGACCTGCCTTCCTCAGCGCAGCACTGCTATGAAGGAGCTGCTCTACCATCAAACGGTCTGTGGGGAGTCTGTTTTTATCTTCCAGGAATAAAACTGTTTGGCTCCATCTCGTTTCCTGAGAAATATGGGGTCACTGTACTTTGCCTGTAAATCTGAGACCAGGGCCGCTTAGGCAGGCAGGAGACCGCGTCTGTGAAATCACAGGATGGAGCCAGAGATGATTATTAATTATTTTTCCACATAGCCACCACACGGACATTTCCCCGTCTTGCACTCTGTACACCAAGTGGGGAAGGCTGCACCTTACAGAAATAGCCCCAAGAGAGAGAGACTGGGGTTCTGCATCAGCAAAACAGGGGTATGACGCCTCTCAGAGATGCAGGGGCAGATGGCGATTTTCGGAAGAAGACCGCTGCCTTGCTGCATTGGGATCCCAACACGGGAATGTGACCCAGTGATGCGCAGTGGAGGGAATGTGACCCAGTGATGCGCAGTGGAGGGAATGTGAACCCAGTGATGCGCAGTGGACGGTTTGCCTCATTGACACCCCTGGTTCTGTTAGGTTCGGACCAATGAGCTGGAGAGTCTGCTTCATAGCACCGGTAATGCGCTAACTGACACCCGGAACCGAATGGTGATAAGGCTGCCACTGGGATCGGGCACAGCCAAAGATCACTCAGACCGTGACGTGGCATCAGTGTGACTGCAGAGAAACGTTCCCCCAGCCCTCCAGCGAGTGCCCATGCGGAGGGGCTCATACTACACCCACGGAGGATCTATAAGAAAAAGTCCATAAGCCACCTGAGTTCAGGCCTCATTTTTGTTATGATCGTGTTGCACTGGTGATGATCTACTGGTATAGCCCAGGGCCCCAAGATGTAGGGGCCCCAAAATGTACCTGGTTGTTACTACAGCATGTTATACTGTAGGCAGGGGTGAGTAGTTCAGATCCAGAAAGTAAAAATCCAGACCAAGATATTGTTTCGACCAACCAGCTGAGCGCTCTGTGTGTGACTGTGACTCTTTATACTCAGCTGCCTGGTTCAAACAAAATCCTGGTCTGGACTTTCATGTTCTGGACCTCAATCACTCACCTCTGACTTTAGCTAGGTGTTGTATGTTGGCCCCACTCCCCTAAATCTGGCCTGGACTTTCTCGAAAGAGAAACAAATGTCCCACAAGGTTTCACTTGGATGTGCATGTGGAGTTCCTCCTTAGAGGGGTGGGGTAGGGGGGTTGACACACAGGCAGGCACACAGAGAGACTCCCAGAGGCCTAAATCTCTGCATTTTACTGTGTGCCATTACCGCTCTGTATGAGCTTCCGGCAGGGTTGTAAATATAATATCAGAAGACCAGCCAAACTTAGTAATAGCCTGTTGATAAATATTGTTTCCTGTGACTCCCTCCAGTCACTAACCATTTCAACAGCTTTATTTCTCACAGAAATGTAGCTGCAGTTTGCAGCAGTTCCCACAGCCTTTAAGATAAGCACTGATCAGTGACTCAAATCAAAGATGCACCATTTATATGCACACATTTGATAAGACACTATATGCTGTGGAAATTTGACTTTCTAGAGCAAAAACCAATTCTATTTCATCGGGCAAAACAAAGGCGAGAGAATCAGAATCTTTCCGGAGAACTGATCTCCGTTCCACATTATGAACCACCCTGACAGTGTTGTCCTCTAGCATGAGGTATATCCTAACCCCAATGTGAACATCATGACAAGCAGCATGGCTCAAACAGACAGCAGTCAGCACATGAGTGAAACCGTCGGCAACCAGCATCAGCCAGTCTCATTGGTCAGTAAGGGCTACAAGAAGCATGAAGCGTATTGGATCCCTGAGAATGTGAGTGGGGATAGGACAGGGCTGGCTGTGCCCCAGCTAACACCCCCCAGGCCAGACAGTTGCAGCCCAGGAACAGGAAGGCAAAGTAATGCATGAAGCAGACAGAAGATGTCCTTTTAATCCACCATGTGTGAGAAATCTAGCAGGCCGATCTCCTTAATGCAGCTCGTGCATTTTATGGGTACGTTTTAAAACCTTTCAGCACCTTTTTAGCTTAAATAAAGAATGAGAAACGGAGAAAAATAAAAGTGAAAAAGCACACAGGCCTGCCTGCATCCCTCGACACAGGAGCCTTGTTTGCATATTGCTCTCCCCGCTGGCCTGGGGGACAGGAACTCAATCAAATCCATCACATCACATCAACAGGCCTGCCTGACACCCTGGGTACCCCCCCTCCAGCGTACTCATGCACAGACAAATCCATCAATCAGCGAGCGTGAACCTCTCAGCCCCCCCCACCAGAACAACACATGTCGGTGCTGAGGGCTCCCATCCATTAGTCCCCCTGCTCATCAGCTGTCTGCTCCAGCCTTTAATGTTCCTGCTGGGGCAGTGTGTTCCCACAGCACAGAGCTGAAGCTCCAGCCTTTGGGCAAATGCTGTTCGGCTCCTTGCAGAATAGGGAGGGGGCATGAGAGGGGCCACAATTCACACAGAGGGGCCAACCTTGTCATTAGCCAATCGTATGCTTTGAACTGGTGAGTGACAGGAAAAGTGGTGCTCCAGGGGCCAATCAGCTTTCAGCAGGGCTAGTGCCTCTGTGGCCCTGCCCTGTTGCAGAACATAGCCACACCACATGGTGTGGTGCTGGTTCACTTAGCAGACTCCTCCCCATCATTACATTACTCTCATAAATGTCAGCTACTGCATTATGGGGTGATCTATTTAAAGGCGGGGGGGGTGGGGGGAGAAAGCAGTGCGAGAAAAGATTAACTGAAACACAGGCTGATTCACAGGAAACAGTGAAGTAAATAAATACCCGAAGACTACAGGGAAAATGATTGCTGGAGCCAGAGAAAGTGACAGGGAGATTTTTCACAAACGTAACAGTCAAAGGCGCCTTTTGTTCCTCCGCCTCACCTGCGGTTCCTGCTCTTACGCCTCCACTCTATACCCGCCTTGCCGACCAGATTGTCCAGGGAGCACAAGGAGGAATAGGGGGAACTGGGAAGGCGGCAGGAGGCTCTTTGGGGGCCGCGGCGCTGGTAACACCCGGACGGCTCGAGGTAAGGCTTCGTCAGGCTGATGGAGAACGATTACCGGAAACGGGCTGGAAGAGCATTGCTGTGGATGTGGATGCTGGAGCAAAGCAGCGTCGTCGAAATATGAAGTCAAAAGGAAAATTCATGCTGAAGGTTAGCTGATTTACTTCATTGTGCTACTGACCAGGTCCCCGCCGTCCCTGCACACCGGGGACCTCAGCCGCCAGGCCGCCGGCTAACAGCCTGAGCCCCGAGAACAGCGCCTCCCGGTGGTGTGAAGGCTGCTCGCACACAGATGGGAGCATATGCCCTTTACCGTTTCAAAGACACAATCCCCCACAGGTCCCACCTGACGCGGATCGCGGAGCTCTGGCAGGTCCTGGGGTCGCGTCAGTCTCATTAAATGCAGCGCGGGGGCATTGGAAGCAGAGCGCAGCAGCCGGTCGCACGGCCTCTTCCTACTCACCACACCCCCCAGTCTGCCGCGCGAGGCCCCCTAACAGGGCTGGCCACTTAATTAGCACCAGAGGTTCAGATCAATACGACCTCAGCCCAGACCTGTCTGTCAGCAGACGGGCACATTCTGGAGAAGGAGCAAATAGAGGCTAGAGGGTGATCAGGGACAGAGCCTACATGTGCCCTCTGTCACACACACACACAGACAGACACACACACACAGACAGACAGACAGACACACACAGACAGACAGACACAGACACACACACAGACAGACACACACACAAACACACACACACAGACACACACAGAGAGACAGACACATACACACACACACAGAGAGACAGACAGACAGACACACACACAGAGACAGACAGACAGACAGACACACACACACCTGTCACAACAAACAAACCAGCAACATCACGGACAACAGGCCAATCTGTATCCTGTCCTTTATTTTCCTTATTGATGTCTCATATTGCATATTTCACAAAACTGAATCAATAACCAAAACACAGAAAATGCATTGAAGCACTTGAGAAACTGATTTTAAGAAACAGATGGAGAGACTCACAAATTCAGATTTCATGAACAAGAAATACAATAGAGCGATGGTAAAGTTTTCGATCACACAGCTAACGTTGACCTTTAATGAACACACTTCATTCACAATACCTCATTTAGGTGACATATATATGGATCAAATCTTTTTTTACACATGTATTTAACACTGAACACGAGCACTTGTAGAGCAGATATAGAAATATAGCGCTACCACTATTAAGTAGTTTGAAATCTGCTCTGTTCCTACATGCAGATCTATAGCTTCAAAGAAATTGAGTGTTTCAGGAAATTGGCAAAACACATTTCACATTTCCCGCTCCACTGAAATTGTTTGCTGTAAATGTGTCAATGTATGTCATTATTCAGGTTTTTTCTCATAATTACTTTTGACATTTTTCTAGTCACTAATAACGGGCACTGGGATGAAACTGGAATAATCACCCATTTTCACAGCTCCACACACACACACAAATGTGAAACACACACCACCCAACACCTGAGACTACAGCTTCACAAGTGTTTAAGTCCCTTGTCTCTGCTCAAAGAAATTACGTTGCTGCTGATTTTGGTATATGGTACATCTGTTCTGCTCATTATGTCTTACTTTGTTACATTGAAAGGGCATTTCTAAATCCAGGTTTCCCCTGAAAACAATGTGTTTTATTTCTGCATTGTGCTTAGCGTTATCTTGCATCTACAGCAATTCAGGATGTGGACTGAAATATTCTCCAGAAAGGAGAATATCTTTCTACAATGAAGAAACTCTACATACCAGAACATGGGCCTATATGATAGTTTGGTTCTATGTCTATTCATTAGCATATGGAGGACAGCCCAACATAATCATAACCATTACTAGTCTATAATTTTTAATATAATCCAAATTTTATACTATTGTTTTTGGCTTAAAACACGTCTTGCTTTCACAGATAATGGCACTTATTGAGAATTCAGTGTTTTCATGGCTAACTTTGCACATGCCACATATTTGTGATCTGAAGAGGCCGAATTTGATTTCTTCCACTTTCATAAACTGAATCAGCATTATCATGTTTAAAGACTGAAGGCATTACCACCAAGTGACTGTAATCACCTGCTGGACATTTCTGTAGGATTTCCTGAACAAACCTCACCCAATGAACTCTTTCAACCTCGGCCACGCAGCTTCAGCTCATGTTTGCAAGCTGTCGTTCGGCATCGAACCACCTCAAAATATTATGCAAGCGCTTGACCCCTTACAAGCTACAGCAGTGAAGCATTTACCATAAAAAAAAAAAGAGGCTGGAATATTTTCACATTATTGTGCATTATTCTGAGCCCAGTTCACACAGCAGAAAAAGGTTGAACTGGCTGCAGATCAGCTACAGTCTGTTTCATTCAGCACTGGGATGATGTAAGGAGACAGTGTCTCTGTGCTCTTTGCCATTTCTCAGAAATGCCATTTAACGGCACATTATGTTTGCATCACTTTCTCTCCCCTCTTACGCTTCTGCTATACAAGGCAACTGGTAAAAATAGGCACCAGTAATAATTTACAAAAAAGAAAAACAAACATTTCATAACGAATCAAATACTCATTCTATCTAATAAACAGATGCAAACAATGTTTCAAACACTTCTAAACGCAAACCTGGAATAGAGTCCAACAGTGATGGGGGGTTCGCCTGTGTTTTCTGGAATTTCTGCCTATTAATTGTGCAACTTTGACAATAAGCAGGAATAATCAAGTGATTGTCCAATAACCCCCCCCCCCCCCCACCTAAAAAAAAAAAAAAAAAATCACAATTTTAATTATTTGTAAAAAATATGCCCTGGTAATATAACAGTAGAGTGATAATAGTCAAGTGATATTCCATGGCTAGGTCAGAAGTAATGCAGTTTTTATCTGACCTCAGTTTAATATAATCGCATTAATTTATTGCTTTATTAAAGAATTCAGGACTCATCTGTGTGCCATGAATGCCTCTGCACTTATGCTGGATGTGATGCAGTCTAAAAAAAGTGTTTAATAATGTAAACTCCACAAGACCATTTTCATCTCCTGTAATGTGACGAAAACGTCACTGCGGGTTTTCAGCTTGCGGTGGCCATCATTAGTGGCACAAGCACCTGCTGACACATGGCACAAATGGTAGAATGGCAATTTTTTTCCCGCGACGCACAGAGAACAAGCCCCAAAACATCAAATTCAGCATCGCAAATCACTGGCGAGAGGGACAGTGACATGAAAGACCCACCCCAGGCTACCATGTCGTACATGCGCGTGAAATAAGGTGACTGGGAACGGTAAGGGCCCAACAGAGCTGGCGCAGCATAAAATGCTGCGAGACATCTTCCCCCGTCCCTCATTAGCCCCTGCTAATTGCACCCTCATTTGTTCATTAATTTAAAAACTAAAGTCATTCATCTGAAAAATAATTCTGTTTTTCTCTCCTCCCTTCCTTGAAACAGCAGGTCAGATTTCTGCTTTGGGTAACAATATATAATCATATATATCATATATACCTGTATAGATATCATTCACATATACACACACACACACACACACATATATATATATATATATATATATTATATATATATTATATATATAATAGCAAAGTCCCTGACGTAGATACAGAATTTCTAGATGGGTTCCACTTTCTGTGCCATATTTGTTTTCATTGTTCATGTCCTCATTAAATGTCTGTTTAGATGCATATAGTGGGAATAGCTTAGAGGTATAAATAGCTTCATAAGTCCCACAATCATATATTTTCTCATGAACAAAGACATAGACCATCTTAGATAGACATATTATTTAATTTCCACTAAGATTTTATATTTTACATCCAATAGCCAAAACTCATACATTAGGACCATTACAGTGAATGGGCAGAAAGCAATTCTAGTAATTCTATATCTACAGCCCACTGGCTGCTTCCAAGCCTACTCATTGATCTCTAAGATGAGGTCATCACCCTCCAGACTGCTGTCGGGCGTCACATAGATCTTGGCGATGGTGCCAGAGAGGGGAGAGTTGACCACTGTCTCCATCTTCATGGCGCTGAGCACGCAGAGCGGCTGGCCCTTCTCCACCTTCTGACCAGCCTTCACCTTCACCTCCACCACCTTCCCCGGCATGGGAGCTCCGACCTGGCCTCGCACGTCCTTCAGGGCCTTGGGGTGGAAATGCATCTCCTGGGGTTGGGAGCAACAGTGAGCACCACTGTGTCAACATCGGGTATTGATGTGCAGAGGTGGAAAGTTCAAGTCCAGCAAGTATTAATCCAAAGCAAGGCTTTTGTTTCAACCAACCAGTTGGGTATAAAGAGTCACATGATACTCAACTGGTCGGTTGGAACAAAACTTGGGTCTGGATTTGTAACATCTACAAAACATCACCTACATAAAACATCTACAGTATAAATTATATGATTATTGCAGTATCATTGATTTACAACTGTGATTCGCCTGGCTGGCACTACATGTACAGGCATAGAAAATTAACCAATGCCCTTCTGACCAATCAGATTCAAGAATTAAACAGTGCTGTGGTATAAGCCAGTATTGATTCCCATGATACTAGACAAAAAAACACATTTGCAACCAATCAACATCTCCTTTATGCCCTGCAGAATTATGGTGAGACTGTCCAAAAGGACAAAGTAAGGAAGGATACATTTACGCAGCATCCAGTATTTGAGGACATGCACCCCCATAGTGAAGGTGAGCATTAAATATTATCCAGGCTTTGGTGGCTGCTGGGAGAGGGCAGAACTATGAACCTTAGCGCCAGAGTCGCTCGACAAGCCAGCCGGTGCGTGTGGCACTAATAAGATTAACAATGTACAACCACTTTAAGACGAATCATCAATCTACCCCTAAACAAACTCCCACAGAGAGCCCCCCGGGGACCAGAGCGAATGGAGGAGTCGGCTTAACTTCTGCCGCTAATGCTAGCAGATCCATTTGCGCTACAGGGCTAGCGGATGCCTGGGGGACTGGAGAGTGACAGACAGCTCAGCGGGTAACAGAGCAGTGCAATCAATTAGCCAGCCTGGGGACCCTACTTAAACGACTGCACCGCGCCTGTTTCAGGCGACAGCCTGGAGATAATGCAGGCTGAGGCTCTCCTGGTCTGGAGCAGTCCACCGTGTACGGCAGGGTGCAAAATGTCTGGGATATTTCTCCCCGTTCAAGCTTTACCAGAATTACCTGTCTGCACTCCATATTTCATCTACTCACTGTTTTTCATGTGCTGCACACCAGACAGGGGCAATATAACAGTGTACACCATCTAGTTATGAATCTTATTGCAACAATACAGTTAGAATTGTAAGTTACCATGTCCACCCATGTCAAAGCCCACACGGGGTTGGTCTACGTACTGATAGGAGCATCAAATAATTGGTCTACAGGGATTTTGGAGGTGTAGGGTACACGGGTCAAGGCTAGAATATTGGTCAATTTAACCCAGGGTTTCTAATATGGGCCATGGAACAGCGACAGTTTGGTCCGTGAAAGGCTGCTGCACAAATGCAAACCCTGGTGAGCAAAATTTACTGGCAGGACAGGACTGGGCGATAAGAGAAGTAAGAAACTTTCTTATTGTTGATAAGGTACAATGCTTGATAGCAAACATCAGCCTATCACATCACAGAAACTAACACAATTACAGCCAATCATCAGTAGTCTTTTATGAATGGACAACCTACGTGCAGCACAGTTGCTTGAGTTAGTGGAGCAGGCATGCTGCTGTTTTGGTAATATCATGGGAGATGAAAGCTCTCCTCAGAGGAAGCTTCAGATGTTGGTGACCAAGGCGAGAGCTCAGCAGTTACAACAGCCTTTATTTTGGAGATATTGTGGATAAGGTAAAAAGACGTTGCTTCTGTGGTATAAGTGTTTTGCAGTTCAAAGTCCGATACACATCACTTTATTTTTGCATGAATTATTAAATCATCAAATTATCAAAATTTCCCCCGAGGCCACCGTCATGACAGATGATGAATGTGTGGGCTGCGTGTTTGGAAAGGTTGAGAAACACCAATTTAAAATGCCAGTGATTGGCCATCAAACCATTTTCACATGCACATTAAAGGTGCTCCTACTTAGATTGGTCCTTAAGTTACAGAAGCTGAACAGCTTGTCGGTAAGGTCATGGTTGGTTGGTTGTTTGCTGGCTCATGCAACGGTACCTTCATGGCCACAGCATCTTTGACCAGGACGGATCGGAGTTGGCCGTTGAGCTCGAAGAAGACCTCCCTCTGACCAGCCTTATTCAGATCCCCCAGAGCCAGGGCTTTGATGTGAAGGGTCTTCCCTCGTTCCAGCTCCACCTGAGGTGGGGGGGGGGGGCAGGGATTGTGGAAAGCTCAATCAGTGTGCGGAGGGGGTCAGTCCTTCGCCGGTTTCCTCAGCGTTGTCCTCAAATCTGCATGAAAAAATTGACACAAGGATGGCCAGACTACCCACGTATGCCTGTACGCTCAGGGTCTGTCCCCTAGCTATTAGCTACAGCAAACGGATGGTGCTGCAGTACCAGCAGACAAGGGAGATGGGGAGACTGTGGATTAATGATGGTAAATTGTAGTGAAAGTAGACAGCGTGATGTCTGGATCAAAAGCCAGCGGATGCTGCTGTTCTCCTGGATGGGATTTCAAGGAGACTACTGTGCCTAATTAAGCTATTGTCAAGGTGACAGGGTTAAAAATAAAAAGCCCATCTTCCCAACTCAACGTCTTGCAATGAGGCTCAGTGAAACAAGGCTATAACCCAACTGGAACCCATAGCGCCCTGTGAACACTGATTAATCGCACAGATGCAATCATCCTAATATCTGCGGCCTGTTGGTTGGTGGCTGCTGAGCTCTGATTAATTGTATAGATGCGGCTAATGAATAATTCATTTAAATTGTTATGAAGCACATGACACATTAACATTCAGATTCCGCAAAGACACCGGGGTCACAGACGGGAGGAGCGGCACCTCAAACTCCTCGGCAATCTTAGGCCCGTCCAGGAAGAGCCGAGTGTTGAGGCATTCCACGGGGCCAAAGTTGGAAGTGAACTCCTTGAACTCCTGGTAGACTTTAGGATACATGGCTGCTGACATCACATCCTCTGGGGTGATGTCATCACTGTGTGCCGCCTTCAGCTGCTTCTCTAGGGCGGTGAAATCCATAGGTGGCAGAGAGGTGCCGGGACGGCCTTCCACACGCGGGAGGGACTTCAGCACCTGGCAAATGGGGGGCAGAAGGATACCAGTGGGGAAGGATCCTGGCAGGGTTTTTGCAACTAGACTGGCCAATCAAGTGGAAAAAATATGGCTCAAATATACACAGTTCAAGAATTAAGGCAAAATTAATGGCACGTACAAAAAAAAAAAAGATTAATGCAAAATGTGGAATATTAGAATATTATTAGAATATGTTAAGGTCCAGGTACATCATGGGAACAATTTATGTAGCAAATCAAAGTCCACTGATAAGGGCTGACAGGGCAGATGAGACAGTATTTTAACAAGACTCCAAATACAAAAAATACCAAAGAGCCCATTTAAACATGAGGATCTGTCCCTGGATCAGCCAAAGGCAGCGGTGCATAAGAATCAACCAGTGAAACATACAAACAGCTACGGAACTTGCTCGTACCAAAACTTCCCCTTGAGTGCATGTTTTTTTTTTTTTCTCTTTTCCTTTCATTTTTTTGTGCTATGTAAATAAATACATGATGACTACTACATTGGAAAAAAGTCTGATTTCCAGAAGTCACCACTTCTCATGGTCTAACCTTGGCCTTCACCTGCTCCTCCGATTCTTCAGAAGTCTTTGTCTCTTAATGGATTTTTCACAGAAGTTTCCCCATTGAATGAATCACAGGTATCTATATATAGTGAATTTAATTTCATTGGGAGGAAGCCATTTGTTTGTTCCTATCCGGCAGGTCAGAAAACAAGAGCCCTTACCCTTGCCGTCCCCCTCAGGCTGATGTCGCCATATAAGACTGACAAAGTGAACCACTACAATTGGACTTGCTTTCGTCTACAAACCACGAGGCATGCCCAAGGACTGGGCTTATAAATAGCCCAATCAATAAGACATTGAGCCTGACAAACGGTTGCCATATAACTTTCACAGCATTTTAATAAATCACCTTCCTGGACTACACTCTTGCGGCTTTGTGAGTCGCTCTCAGGCCAACGGGCAGATTGTAGACATGTCAACATCTGGAGCGTTCTACACAAGCCATTGCTGAAGTGTGATACAGATGTGATCTTCGTGTGAATGGCAGTAATGGATTGTTCACGGCTGACCTGAGGGGGGAGAACTTCAAGCTACCTCTCTACCTTCAAGGAAAATATTTTACATCATTTGCTTAAAGAGAAACACTCATAGCCATTAGGTCTGCAATTGTGTATAAAATGTGAAAACACAGCAGGCCATTGACATCAACATTCTTAAGAAGGCTGCTGTTACCCTATCTTTGCCAGAGCAATACAAAATTAGGTAGGAAATCATTCAGTCTGCAGTATTTGCAAAGACATATTTTAAATCACTGTTTATTGATTTAATATCATTTGAAGTAATCGGAATTCTGAAGGTCTGAGCAGAATCCTATGACGTGATATTTGGTTGCATTGCACCATAAACCAGTGCAGCTCTTTGGCTGCTCGGCCAAAGCCCATATCTTCCGAAAGGGGCCATCATCACCCCCTTAACCAGGAACACGGGCTGCATCTCTCTCAATGATTAGCTCTAGCAACAGAAAAGCCCCCTTGGGTTACTTATTGCAGTTCAGCCAATGCACATTTGAGATGTGTATAAATCACTTACTAGGAAAGATCTATCACTGCTGTAGGAGTAATACTACAGGCCAGAGCAGTTAAATAAAGTTTTAATGTGGTTTTTTCTTCCGTATCGAGAATTTCCGAGCTGAAAGACTCCGCTGAACACCCAGTTCTTCATGGATACAGATCTTTCTTTAGCGCACCCATATTCCCTGAAATGGAGCTCTGAGTCCCCTTGTACCCACAGTTTCAGTTATCCGTAGTTTACTACTGTTTGAGGAAAAAAAAACAAAACACTGTTAAAGTGTAACAGTATGTTTTTTTCCCAGTGTTCCTTCATCCTTTGAGGGGTATAAAAAGCATGATTTCCTTTGCTCCGTCACCCCTTGATACATATTTTTTTATCGTTCTGTCGTTAAGCTAAAACGTCAGAATCCCTTTCATTCGAGAGAGTACAGCTGTACAGTACTATATAATAATGTATAATGTACTTTATTATTACTGTATTCAAAGTTGGTAATGTCTTACTGTGTGTAATTTATCAATTACCATATGTAAGTAGCCCACATAAAAATCATGTTAAATATGGAGTTCGCAGTTGGTTCGCTATTATCCGGGGTTTCGGCTATCCGGGGGTAGGTCTTGGAATGTAACACCTACCGATACAGGAGGACTAATGTAGCACTTTTTTTCCCAGGACAATTACAAGGAAGTCTTACTTCCACTTTGCATTTCACCTTACTAGAGGTAAAGTCATTGCTGTTGACTGAGGGCTCATTATATTACACAGATAAATGCTGTAGTAAAGTAAAGATAAGGCATGTTTGGAAAGCTATCTGGATCAACAGTAACCCAATAGCTAATGGTGATGGTCGCTGTGACTCACTTCATAGAAGTTAATCTAAAATAGAAAGGCTGAGGTCTATTATGAATCAATACAATCTTCATGAATGGAACATAAAGAGTAACCTTTAATGTCCGAAAATCCCATTTGCAACTATACTTTTCTGGCAAATGTACTTTGTTAAGAGGGAGTTCTGTTGCATTGTATCTGTTAAAAGAATCATTTGTTCCAATTAAAAGTAATTTTGGATTTTCAATGGGCTGAAAAATGTGAGGTTAACAGTGGCACAAATTCGGAATTCTCCAGTCTTGTGGACTCGTGGAAGGAATGGAATAATTTACCCTTCCTGACATTCTAACATTGGTCCACTTAGCCCATATTTCAAAGTGCAATGACAAATTGAAAAGGGGCATTGGAATGGCACCGGTAAATGGCAACAAAAAAAAAAGTCTCTGGAGCAGAGTTTCTCAAACCGGTCCTTGGAAATCCAACCCGAGGACCTGGTCAAGAAACACTGCTCTATAGCGCCCCCTGCTGAGCCACCTCTGCTATTCTACCTCAGCAATTCCACATCACCCGAGTGGATTACAATTCCTCTTTATTATTAAATCCACTGTCAAGTTCCTCTTTTGAGTTTTTTCTTTAAGTCAGAGCATATTCCTTAAACATCAAGCCGATTCTAAGTTTCTGACAGCCTTGACAATTCCTTGTGGCAAGTGCGGGATCAAAAACAGTTGCGCCAATGAATATCAACAGGTGAAATTCAAGTTAGGAAACATTTTTGTCCATCATTCAATATACAGAGCTGGTTAGGCGTGTTGGGCTCACAACAACAAAATTAACTTCATCCTTGTATATTAATGATAACCACTATACATACAGGATGCATAAAAGATAAACTATATGCATATGGAAAAGATATTATACTTGCATTAAGTGCAATACTTGAATTAACATTTTATAACATTATGAATTATGCATAAACAATTACGGAAGCTTGGTGTAGCGATTAAGATATGCCGATGTAAGACCTGTGGGCGTGCATTACCGTTTTACAATTACACATGTAACTGATATTTACATCCGATGTCAAGCTGCTTCTGTTAGAACGGAATTCAGTCAATATATCACGGAAATACGTTTCCTAACCTAATAGCCTATATCGACATGTCATGTATAATTGGCTATGTGCATTATCCATAACAATCCTAGGGCCACCAGCAACTGGAGACTGAATTCACCAACTACCTACCAGGTGAGGGACAAACCCTTCGGTCATGCCCAGTAACGAAGAGAAGGACAGCAGAAGTGCTCACAACCATAACGGAAGCTCTGTGTGACGTATGCCTGACCGAGCACATGACATACGGGGAAATTCAGCGCGTGGACACACAGGATACATTTTTCTGAATGATTAGGTTTAGCTGAGTGTGCCTGACATGGTGAAGGGGGTGAGATGGATTACCTTGGACCTGAAGGGCTCGGGGAAGCCACCATAGGGGGTGCCGACGTAGCCCTGCAGAAACTCCACCACCGACAGTGGGAAGGACAGCTCATCCGCCTGCTTCTCCACCTCCTCTCGCGTGAGGGAGTTTTGCACCATGAACTGGGCCAGGTCTCCCACGATCTTGGAGGATGGTGTCACCTGTAAGGCACACAGGATGGGGGGGGTGGGGTGGATATTGAAGCTCTTAAAACCTTCTCCCAAATGCAGATGTTTACATGGGTGTGTGTCTCAGAACCATGACAGCTACGTCCAAAATGCCCGTAAGCAGGGAACGGAGTGAGAGAGCAGGGCGACGTGGCAGTGGATGAAAGGCCAAGTCGATCATCTGTAACCTGCAGGTCTTACAGAATACATTTTAATTAGCAAGTGCTCCACTTCTAATGTGACTTACTACCCAATTAATTACATCAATAAAGCAATCGGTAGCAGACACTGGGGGGGGGCACCAGGACATTCTGCAGCCAACGACTCAGAGCTACGACCCCCTAGAGAAGAAGAATACAAAGCTGAATCTGGGAGGTAACCGTAAAGCTAGCATCCTGGTCTGGGCTCATGCATGTCAGCTCTGCTTTCCAACCTCGAAATTTGTTAGGCCTCTAGGCAATGCAGCAGAGTCCATCAGTCACATCATCTGATAGTTACAACAAACAGGCATCTCCCAGTTAAGAACACCCCAACTTACAGACTACTTACAAATGGACTGCCATAAAGCCTATTATATTAAAAATTCAGCTTAAATACTATGGTCTGTAATAACGAATGCACACACTACCTTGTGACGTGAAAACATTGCACAGCTTCAGCAGTTTGTCAGCTCGAGGTACAGTACAGTATCGTATGGAGTTACTTTTATTATTATTATTATTATTATTTACCGTGTTATTATATTTCCGACTTATCTCGTTTGCAACCTAGGGACTGTCTGTTTGTGAAGCGTAAAAGCTATTTAGTTAACCTGTGCCATTCAATGAGAATACAGGTGTGCAAATTAGCAAAGGGTAATAATATTTAAGGAATCGATAGATTAACTAACTGACTAACAGATTAATGGCTCCGCTTAAATGGAACAAAAAATAATAATAAATGGAGGGAGAGACAACATCACCAATTGAAGCACCTCTGGGAGGACACACACATAAAACTATGGGCGGAATTTAATTATGTGCTCGATCAAGCCTCAATAATTAAGAATTCAGGGGCTATACACAGAAGCCCCACTTGGACCAGGACTGGGTAACCATTATCTAAGAAATGAAAACAAGCAAGCATTCCCGTTAAACCAAAATAGAGAAAGCATTTAGCTAAATTTTTTATGGGCCACTAATTTTAAAAGCTATGCAGATGAAAAATTGTCATCCTTTTGGAGGGGGGGCAAACAAACAACAGATTATGTATAGTGCTCAACAGCCTAAGGGATTGTGGGTAATCACACAGTAAAAGCACAATTAGGGAGATAAAAGGTTGAGATAAGGGATGAAGCACATTGGGAAACAGAAAAAAAATATTAAAAGACTTTCCATTATTAGGCAAATCATGATACGACATTTATGTGTATAAAGCAGCATGAATTGAGAGGTGAGGTAATGAAATCACCATTATCTGTTCACACAATGTTGCTTTACATAGGGTGCATTTTGTAAATGCTGTGGCAATAATTGCATTTGCCCATGATGTCATTAAAGCACAAAGGAATCTAAGGGACATTACTGAAGGCACTGTGCAATAGCACACTGAGGAAGGAACAGATACACGGAGGGAGAGAGAGAGGAGGGAGGCATCCAGTGGAAAACAAAACATAGCTGAAAACAAGTTCGCGTAGAGCCAAAATGTAGTGGGCAAAACAGGGTAGGCATCATGGTGCCTTTCACACACACACACACACACTTATCTGAGGTAGATCTTGGAACGTATCACCCATGGATATATGCTTTTTGGTCCATATTCCCCAGCCCTACATATGTTACCATCCCACCTGCCCCTCTATGAAAATCTCGGGCCCGTCCATCACAATTTTCCTGGCACCAGCACCGGACTCACCGGCAACAGACCCGAGGGACAGAACATCTGTCTTTAACATGGATCAGCCTCATTGACTCCATTGGCACATTGTCCACCTGTTATTAACAATTTTAACTATGTAGGAATCAGAATGGGGGGGGGGGGTGTAGGTTAATTCTTCCAAGCGAAACGAAGTAAAAGCGGAACCACGCAGGCAGGTGCCACTTATGTGTTGAGGCAATGCCCACGGCCGCAGAGGGAGCTGATGTGTCTGCCTTACAGAACACTGCTGACCTGTCTCTGGGCCAAAAGGCTAGGAGAGGATCAGCCAGAGAAGTTATTCTGATGCACCTTTAAAACGGTTTCCCAATCCGGTCCTCGGGGAGCCACAGATGGTCCACATTTTTGCTACCTCCCAGCTCACAAACAACAACGAGGACTGTCTGGCAGGGAGCAGGGAGGGAGAAAAAACGCGGACCCTCTGTGGCTCTCCGAGGGCCGGATTGGGAAACAGGGTTTAAAACATTTTAGCACATTGTGAGACATGATGAGTTGAAGGCAGAGTGACTGAGAGAGATTAAAGAGAGATGGAGTGAGAGATGGGGAGGACGGGGGAAGAGAGCAGGGCGCAGAGAGACACAGCGGCATGTGTGTGATAAGTGCTGCGCATGTCAAGGCTTCACAGGCCTATTCGAGGGTGTGATGGAATCATTTCTAGACTTCGGGAAAAAGCTGAAAAAGAAACGATGTCAGATATAAGCAGTGCAGGACATCTGGGCGATCCCTAGCAAGTTCGACCAGCGGTCATTATTGTCTAGCAGTCTGTCAACCAACCTCCCTGTCTCTAAAAGCTGCTCATCCAGTGAGAAGGCATGGGCGCAGGGTAGGGAACATTCCAGAAGGGTCACCACACACAGTGGGTACAAATGGAGGTGAAAGCACCACACAGGTAGGAATTCAGCCAGATTCAAATCCATGACCTGCATCGGGGGCTCAGCGCCGCCTTTGGCCCTGTCCATTAAATGGAGCGTTTGAGGAGCCTCTGGCTTGGCGACCGACAGACCTACATCTGCAGCGTGCCGCGTCTGGCACGGGCAGGGAGCCTCCCACCTTGATGAGGTCGCCCAGCAGCTTGTTGGCCTCCACGTAGGCCTTCTTCACCTCCTTGAACTTGTGGCCCAGCCCCATGCTGTGGGCCTGGAAATGCAGGTTGGTGTACTGGCCGCCGGGAATCTCGTTCTCGTAGACGTCGGCGTTGCCCGACTTCATGGTGGCCGTGCAGTCGAAGGGGGCGTAGAGGCCGCGGGCCACCTCCCAGTACTCGCTGTAGTCAAAGACCTTCTCCAGGGAAATGCCTGCCATTTGGGAAGATTCGGGGGTGAGTCTCTTTTGTTAGTGTTTTTCAACCCAGTCCTTGGGGACTCCCCCAGACAGTCCGCAAAAATGTAGATTGTCTGGAGGTCCCAGAGAACTCGGTTGAGAAATACGGTCATATTTTGTGCAATTACAATTTATATGCCTATATTCAAAGTGACACAAAATGAAAAGTGACTTCAGACAGTCCATACAGCAATTAAAAGTTAAGGGTCTTGCTCAAAGGCCCAGTGGTGAAATCAAGCTGCCAACACTAAGATTTGAACTGACGACCTTCTGATTAGAGGCATAGTGTCCAAGCCCACTCAGCCACACACTGCTCTCTCCCCCTTATTTTTATTCCCAATGCTTAACGGTGCTTCAAAAGTGTAAAAGAAACTTCATGGGTGAAAAGCTCTAAGTAACTGCTACTTATGTAATAATACACTATTGAATATTTGAACTTTTAAGCATTATACTTTTAAGTACAAAGTATTGTTACTATTAAGTAATAATACTATATTAAGTATTGGCCAGTTTATAAGAGTGGTTATTTTGCTAAAATATAATTTTGTGAGATTCAAACTAAGCAGGCACATAGCAAAAGCCCATTTGCTCACAAAATCAACCAGCTGAGTTTCATTTTTAAGCCAGCTGAACCTGGGGCGGTGCCCCAGTCTCAAACATCTCTGGTCCTACTGGGAACCTGGCATAGAGGCAGAACCGCTAATGAGGGACCAACAGGAAGTCAAGGTAGACCTAGCACGTATAAGGAGTCCGGTGTGAGGACGAGCGGGACGGTTTAACAGAGCCGCTGCTACAAGGAGCGTAATTAGAGGATCGCGTGGCCGGTCCAACGAAATACGGCGCTGGATCCCTACCAGCGACGCGTCACTCAATCAGTCAATGGGCTGCTCCGTGTCAGAGTGTAATCTATCAGCAGCTAAATGCTACAGCTGTCGTCACCCTAACACTTTCCCTGTCAGGCGCTGCATGAACATAGCGAAACACACACATATATACATGCACAAAGACACACAGAGACAAGCAGCTCCAGGCTGACCCCCGCCTGCTAACCGATAAGAAGGCATCCTTGGCGCTCAGTCATGCCACCGATTAACCATCCAGACAGAGCTGTCAGAGCCAGTCACATGCCACGCTCTGAGCCGGAGAGGACGCAGAGCCAGCGGCAGCCTGATCGCCCGCCCGGCTGCGGGGGAGAGTGGTCCGGATCGAATCGTTCTGACCTGCCTGCGTTTTAATAAACCCAGACCGGGTACAGCTGGCAGCTGGAATTCAGAGCGAGCCTGCTGCCTTTAACCGTTAACGGCACGGCGAGATAAAATGGCCAGGACGTCGAGCTGGTGAAGAAAGGCACAGAGAAGGAAGTTAAAATAAGACATGAAAGGATGAAAATGCAGAGAAAGTGGCAGATATAAAATTACGGAGTTGATAGCAGCCGCAAGTGGAGAACACGGTCTGGTCTGTCAGGCGGCAAAGGCGACTCTAGGCGCACGGCAAAGAGACGGAAGAGAGTGATAGGAGGACTGAAGAAGGGGTGGGGAAGCCGGAGATGTGAAAAGAAGGAGCAGAGAAAGAGACGGGAAATGAATAAAGGGAGACCTGTCTGCCGGCTGAATGGGCAATGATGAGGTGTGGGGGGGGGAGTAGCACACAATAAACAGATAATGAATACAATACAGACAGGCTTAATGAGAGCCGGTGGCATCAGACGGGAGGCAGCCGCGGTCAGCTACAGCTGTTCAGCTGGATAAACTGACAGCTCCCCGACAATTCAATTTACCTGACAAGCGGCGCTCCAACATCACCATAAAGAGAGGGAGACCAAAAACAAAGCCGAACACTTACACACTGGCAAACTATTAACATGGAGCCATTCCGGTGCAGTGCATTGTGGGTAATCGCAGTGTCTCTGCACATGATACGCTGCCGTTGTCGGTCTCGGCATACCGTGTTTCGGCAGGTGCCCGCGTGAACGCAGGCGTATGCAGAGGAGAACGTGACATGGATGCCAGTCCACAGGACTTGCATACAAGCACAAGCATCTATAACGGAGTGATCAAAAACTGGTCAATTCGAATCGATACCTGTGTTGTGCCGCGAATGTGCACCCCCCACACCCACCGTGACAACGGCGGGGGAAAGCAAAACAGAGAAACTGATGTTACTTCAATCTGGGCTCTGCACGCACAGCATGCTGAGAGACACTGGCTGGGTGGAGGAGTGGGTGTATGTGTGTGTGCTGGAGGAGACTGACAAGCGACAAATCAAGGTACTGCCTAGTTATTTATGCTTTACACGGCCACTGGGTCACTGCGTAGGAGTTCATCATGAGTGTATAATATTTTGTAATAAGTTGTATAATAAACAGCATATCTCAAGTCCACTAGGATGTGTTCTATTGGATATACAGCAACTAGTGAGAATTGCTTTATATTATGAGTAATAGCAGAAATTAACACTTTTATGAACTCTTAGTGCAGTTAGGCTGGTTCCTATACGGATACCCATCATGCACTGCTGCCCATTAAGGACCTGGCTCTCCTTAGATACACAGCTATCCGGACTAGCACTGACCTGGCCATGGGAAAGCACCACAAAGAAAACCTCAAAGAAAGAAGGAATCAGAGACAAGCAAGCCCACGGGGAAAGATTACGGAACAGAGTGGCTGAATTTCAGCGTATCCTGTGAGCCCCTGTTACTTCACACCAGAATCTGGAAGCACCATCATTACCAAGCACCGTTGGGGTATTTGAACAATTCTCAGCAAATCAGAAGGCAGGACTGTGGAGCCAGTGTTTATATTTAAAGGCATGAATTGGAGGCCAATGATGCAATGTGACAACCTCCATCATGAAATCCAATAAGTTTTAGCACCACACAGAGACGGAAGGCTCCAGCAGTGGCTAACACTACCGTTAGCCGGTCAGAGGGAGCCGCATTCCACATGCCCGGAGCCGGTCCAAACCCACGCGATTCAACAGGTCCTGTCACAAGATGCATTTTAAAGCTTTAAACCAGTAATTTCCTCCAAGCACAGCTCTCCCAGGGAATCCGTGTCAAACCGAAGCCGCTTCCAATCAGGGCTATGGGAAATGATGCTAATGACTGCTTTGGAATCAAATTTGCGCTGAAGTGGTTCGGAGGTGTGCTGCAATCTGCGCAGTGAGGGCCGCGGAAATGCCGGAATGGTGTTTCACGCGCAGACGGCGATCACCGCGAGAGCCTTTCAGGGGTGAACCACAAAGCAAACCTGTAATATATATTAACCGTGTGCTTCAGGACGAATCGGAAATATTACAGTGATTTGGGTGCGTGAGTGAGCTTCGATACTGAGCACATTTTTTTACACGTGTTTCTTGTGTGGAAAATCAAAAAGTTATTTTTATTTTTTTAAACCACATGATTATACATTGTACTTCATCCCATTCCCCAAATCAATTGTCATTACCCAATTCTGCAGTCAGGGGCAAACAAATATTACATTTCCAAATATTATTTTCACAGACACTGCTGAACTCGCTGCAGGTGTTTTTATTTTATCTGAGCCGTCCTGATGCCTTGATAACGGATGGGGGTGAGAGGGGGGGGGGTGGTCACCTGTGTGGAGATCGGTGCCCTTGGTGCAGGCCACGAGGGCCCCCATGCTGGGCTGCGACGTCATCCCTGCCATGGAGTCCACGGCCACGTCCACAACGTCCGCCCCGGACTCGGCGCACGCCAGCATGGCCGCTACACCGGCCCCCGCCGTGTCGTGCGTGTGCACATGGATGGGCACCTCGGGGAAGCGATCACGCAGGGCGCCGATTAGCAGGCGGCTGGCCTCGGGTTTCAGGAGCCCGGCCATGTCCTGCCGAGAGGATGGGGGGAGGGCAGGGGAGGAGGACGGAGGATAAAACGAGAGGGAATTTATAGAGAAACTGTACCTGGGAGCTGCTGGCCTGTTATTTATCTCCAACCCATAAATCCGGCTCCATCCTGCCTCCTCATCACTAAACCCATTTGCTGCTCTTGCCTCTCCATCACTGACTCTGCAAACTCCCCATCCATCCATCCATCCATCCAGTCACCCACCCTCCCATCCAGCCACTCACCCTCCCATCCATCCACCCACCCTCCCATCCATCCATCCATCCATCCAGTCACCCACCCTCCCATCCAGCCACTCACCCTCCCATCCATCCACCCACCCTCCCATCCATCCATCCATCCATCCTCAATCCCGACCTCCCTCTCGAACCTTAATGGCCAGGATGTGTGTCCCAGCCTTGACCAGCTCGTCCGCCAGCTTCAGGTAGTACTCTAGTGAGTACTTCTGCCGCGTGGGATCTGACACGTCGCCCGTGTAGGAGATGGCAGCCTCCACCACGCCACCCGCCGCCCCGGCAGCCTCCATGCCCAGGATCATGTTGGGCAGGTAGTTGAGGGAGTCGAAAACCCTGAAGATGTCCATGCCGTTCTCCTTGGCCACCTCGCAAAACCTGGAGAGACGGAGGAACGCGGACAGGTGGTCAACGGGTGGGGAGGCCATTGATGGGGATGAAGGAAGAGAGGGAAGAGAGAGAAGAGAGAGTGAATGTAGGAAGAGAAAAGAAGAAAAGATAAGTGCAAGGAGATAAGGCAGGCCACATTTATATTACTATCAATGTTCAAAATGGTGCACAAATTACAGGTTGACTGTAGGGTGTTTATGCACTAAGGAGAAGCAATTGTTTTATGAGCTGTTGTACCCAGGGATGCCATAAAGGGGGAGTTAGGATGATTCCAAGGGCCCCCGAGTGACAAGGGGTCTTAAAAATCTGGAACATAATTGGTCTGGATTGGGGGCCCAATATGATAAGATTTCATGGGGCCCAAAAGCTGTAGCGGTGTCCCAGCCCGGCATGCCACTGACTTGTAGACGGCGTTGTCGGGATAGTTGGTGTAGCCCACGGCGTTGGCGCCCCGCAGCAGCATCTGGAAAGGCACGTTGGGCATCAGCGCCCGCAATTCCTGCAGCCGACGCCATGGGCACTCAGACAGGAAGCGCATGGCCACATCAAAGGTGGCACCTGCAAGCGCAACAGGAAGTTGGGTCAGAAAGGAGAGGAGTTACTGTTCGCCCTACCCTGCGCGCCGGCCAGCCTGGTGGTGGGACCACCAGGGAGGAAAACATATTGCCCCCCCCCCCCCCTCATTTTAGGGAGTCTCAAACAAAGAAAATGCATTGGGGATGCAGAGGGCATGGAAGGACTTCCTATAAGCAGAGATATCGGGTGTTTTTCAATATGCGTACTTGACCATACTTGTATTCTCATGTACCCGTTTTACGTCATCTTCCACTGCCGAAGACCAGGTCTAACACTCAAGAACAGAAGTACAGAGGATGGTAAAAATCCCAGGATGTCATTCCTGCCCTGCCCCAAATATGAAAAATACATTGGTTGCATCCTCTCCGAATGAGACCAATCCCATGATTCATTGCAGCCCAAGTTCGTTCTTGGGAAGCAAGTTAGCAAAGCCGGTCTTGCCAAGAGCACAAGTATGGTCTTTGCATTCTTGATACTGAGAAACACCCATCTTCACAGGAAAGAGAATATGCACCTTGCTTGTGAGACCTCACATGGCACCCCTGAACCAGAACACACTTTGGCCTCCCTGTTGCTTCCAGATGGCTACAGGACTGAGGAACATTTTTTTCAGTGGTGCCCTTTAATGGAGAGGCACAGCGGGGCCCTGTCAGAGAGCCCGACGAGGGCTGGCTAACGGCAACGTAACTGCAACAGCACTCGACCTCAGTGGTGCCCGCGGGCCAATCTGTAGGTGCGCGTGCAGAAACATGGGGAGAGATGAGGGAGCCCTCTAACGCAGGACCGGAGGGAAGCGGGCTGCACGGGATACTCACCACCCCAGTTCTCCACGCTGAAAAGGTTGCTGAAGTTGTGGGCGACGAAGGGCGCGATCTTCTTGAGGTCATGGGTACGCACGCGTGTGGCCAGCAGCGACTGGTGGGCATCGCGGAAGGTGGTGTCCATGAGGAGCAGACCCTGGTGGGCCCGCACTGCCCGTGCAAAGCCCTCGGGACCCTCCCGCAGGAGAACATCCCGGAAGCCGAGAGGTGGCTCGCCTGCGGACCAGAATGCGAAGTTACTTCACAGTACACACACACACACACACACACACACACACACACACACAGATACCCTACATTTACAAGGACATTCTAAAAAGGGGTTTAATGTCCCAAAATAATTTAAGAAAACCAAACTTCTCTCATACTTCAGTGGTCATAAATACTGTTTACTGGCAAACACATTAAACTGTACTCCAAGGACAATTTATAAAGTTGGGAATTGAGTATATACAGCCTACAACGTGCGCGTGTGCACACACAGCCACACACACAGACACACACACAGCAGTACAAGGAGACGACAAGATGCACAAAACAAAAACTTACATTAAAAAGGGTAAAGGGAAAACAAAGGAAAGACTGTCACCAATTTTTTGTCTATGGAGACTAAATTGTAAAAATACAGTATAAAAAGGCACAAAATAAACCAGTACAAAAAAGAATAAACACCAGCATCAGCAAAAACACATGTTCGAAATGTTTCTTCAATTGAAAGACTGAGAATTGATTTTAAAGAAGTTCTGTTTTCCCAAGGTACAGTGTTTTCGATCAACACCCTTCACAACATCGGGACACACACACGCAAACACACACGCACGCACACACATATACTTTTCCCCTTGGCCCTTTTAATACAATTAACAGCCCAAATTTACAAAATAACCAAACTCAGAAATACAGGAATATTGATCAGAAACTGTGTGCAATTTTGTATTATGTTGATGGCCACATTTCCTCAGAAGCTGCCCCCAGACAGGTAACGCAAACACACACATGGACCGTGATGAAGCACATTAGTTAGTGCTATCTGGCTTCCACCATCACTGCTACACATCTCACTGCTATCAAAGCCTAGCGTCTTGCAGCCTCAATGCTGATGACGCAACTGCTAAATTTCTTATATACCACTAAATTAGCTACTTAGCAACCAGCGTTATCAAATTGCTTACAGGGTATATAAACAGCTGTAACAGCTGGATAAGAGTGAGCACAGCACAGCTCTTTCTGCCAGCACCCCCATCCAACAGCCTGGCCTACAACAGAGTGATAAGGCAGGGCACATCTGCACCTCCTCCGAATCCCTCTATCATATGAGAAAGGGATATAGGCACCCCCCACCAAATCTCATTACAGGGATTCAGGTGTGTGTTAAGCTCATGCATAGATCTCATCATTCTATTTCGGGTTGTGTTTCAATGTGTGTGTGTGTGTGTGTGTGTGTCACATCTTCATTTCAATGAATTCTTTTATTAATAGGAACATAATCTCAATGCATACTGTGTATACATATATACGGAATATTAAATATACACTGTGTATGAATTTTAGTTAATAAAGAAGTTAATGTGTTGTCTCCCTTTCTCCCTTTTAAAAAAAAACTCATTTACAACCTCAGTAGTTTTTAAAGCAGGTTGTACTCTATGCATCTTCCTGTCATTGTGATTTTGAATTTAGTGGTTTTAGCTTGTGCTGTTCAAAGTAGTATTGTTGTTATTTTGTATATATGTACCTGATGGTGTGTGTGTTTTTGTAATTATTATATTGTGGGGACCCAATGTCCCCACAATGTGATAAAAACCTGTTACTATTTATCTTGTATGGCCATTTTTCTGGTCCCCACAAGGATAGCCTCAATTTTATAAAAATGTGTAAATATAATTTAAAAATACAATACAAATGTGTGTGTGTGATGCTGGTGCTAATGCAGACTGTAGGATCAGGGTACCCCAGTGAGAATGTGCATGCATTTATATTTGCCGTTTGTGAAGATAATTTGTGAGAAAATGTGCCAAACAAAATATCAAACTTAAAAAGAATTTGTGGGTACATCTGCAAAACGGCATTTTAACAACCTCATCAATTTCAAAAAGATGCAAAAAAAAAAAACCTATTTCTTGTATTGGTTTTGTTGAATTGGGGCTGTTGCTTATATTATGAGCTGTTTAAGGTAGCGGCCGGGTCCAGCTCTTCCTGATTACCCAGAGGAACAGGAGGCACGACAGGATCGACGGAGGACGGCTTGGCCTTCACCGGGATGGGGGTGGTGGGGCCGTTCACCATCACGTGACCTGAGAAGGAAACAGGCAGTCAGCCGGGTGCATTAGCGGCCTTAGCGGGCTGTCTGGAGTGAGCGAGCCGTCGCACTGACCCAGGTAGTGCAGCAGCTTCTGGGCCCGGTTCTGCACGGGTTTCAGGTTGAAGAGCTCCTGGTTCTCGTCGATGAACTGGGTGTCCACCGTCCCATGGAGAAACTGGTCATTGCTCAGCACGTTCTGCAGGAACGGGATGTTCGTCTGCGAAAACAGCAGCGGGAACATGAACGGACCAGTGGACGGTGATGCAAGAGCAGTGTGTCGCTACCGGAACGTACGCGATTCGTAATCAAAGCGGGGAAATCAATCTCTTCCTGTCTCTTACTCAGAGATGGGCATCAAACGGATCTATCAATGCTTCTGAATACGTGCTCATAAATATCGCATGGAGGCAAAGGAAAACGGCACAGCTGATATTAACTCAAACTGCTTCGATTTGTGCCAAACACATCCAGCGGGGGATGCAATGTGATAGCTTATAATGAGCTGCGGTCGTATTGCCACGAACACAGGGACTCGTGACAGGGACCTGCTGACAGGCATACAGAGCAGTGGCCCTGGTAATAATACCCCCCCCCCCCGGGTCTGGCAGGCAAACATAAATCATCACATCTCTTCAGCAGGGCAACAGTGGCACACTGAACCTAGGATGCACTCATTCCAACATCACCCCATATCTCAGCCTGTCAGCAGCATCTGTGAAAGAATCAGAGAACAGTAGAAACCAGAACTCCAACCATCCATCCATCCATCCATCTTCCATACCCACTTGTCTTGTACACGGTCTGGGGGTCTGGAACTTATCCCAAAGGCTATGGGCACAAGGCAAGAAATAACCCAGGATGGGGTGTCAACTCATCGCAGATTAACCACACCACCACCTGATATTTTTGGCCTTGCTTTCTGATGATCCTTCTACAGGTACAACAAGGTAATTAAAATAACCCTCATGTGATATGGAAAAAAATGCCAGTTAGTCCTGTGCTCTATGAGGGGTGACCACCAAATCCATGTCAGGACACTATGAACTTCTTCAGGTTTTACAAACTACTTAAAAACTCGAAGGCCCCCATGCTTGGCTAAATTGTTTGGTTCATCTTGTACTTTTCCTGGTTTGTTTCCTTGAATGAAAGACTCATCCAGCTGTTTCACATATACATTAGTGACGCATGATTATAGCAGACTGACCAATCAGCACACAGCAAGAACTCAGTGCTTAAGTGAAATCCAGGTCTTTTTAATTGAACTGATAGTCAACAAACACTGTCCTAACTCAAAGTGTCCTCCCTGACATGGATTAGGTGGTCACCTTAGCTCTATGAGACATAGCAGGACAGGTCGAGGGAAACAGCAGGTTTCATTGCAGGGAAAACAATGCATTGTGGGACAGTGTTACTACCCACAATTGTTTCATTGTGCTCTCACTGAAAACACGGTATGTTCCCTACATGCGATTCATGTGACTCCTATTGTCCTGTTAATGGGCCACCCTTTAACTGATGAGCTTTATCAGTCTGGGTCCCGTGCCAATAAAATAAATTAGCATTAATATTTGAGAAAGAGAGAAAAAAGGAGGTAATTCTCAACAGTGCATGATAGCAAAAAATTAAAAATGATCTGAACAAAAAAAAAAACATAAAAAACAAAAATTCAATTATACATGTGCGATGTTCTCAAATGCAATAGCCCCAAAAATAGTAACAAAAATAACATTTTAATTTAAAAGAACCAATGCATACAGTCACCCAAGGCTTGGGATGTCTGTGGCACAAAATCAATGTGTCTGGAGCAGTTTGTGTGAAATTAGAAAGTTCACACTCCACTTCTCATACAGCTCCTGTGGCCAAAGTGAGGTGAAGATGCACTTTACCTGCCGACTCATAAGTGGTTTTATGCCCAGGTCATTCTGAGAGGTCAGACTGTAGAGAGATGGAGGGGAGAAGACTGATCTGTCCAAAAGCCATGAGGAATTTTCCACACAGCCAGGCTTAAAGCTAGAAATATTTGTGCCCAAAGCCAGCTGGCTTGAGACTTTGAAAACCCTATCCCTGCCACGGAGAAGAAAGAGGCATATCCAGCTCTCATAGCCAGTAAGGCCTTTGTGTGAGGGGGGCCGCAGGGAAGGTGCACAACTGCCGAGTCCTGGGTGTTATCAGAGAACAAAATGTCTAGTCACGCTGGCTTTCCAGCAGGCCGCTGCAACGGCAGCCAAGTCCAGCACAAATTCCCCCCCATGACCTCAAACCAGTGCGTAACGCAGGAGTAACAAAGCGTCAACGCTCTCTCGTATATTGACTGCGCAAAGGCAATAAAATCAATACGTCTCTAAGGGTTTCTTCTCATAAACTTCTCGAAAATGAAGTCCGATGTCGCGAAATCGATGCAACTGAAAAAAATGTGTCGAGGCCGACTGTGTACCGGCCGTCATCGAAATTGACTTCCTGCCTCGCAGAAGGACTGGGCTCCGCGGCCCTTTTCCCAGTGCCGTGAAAAGAAGCAGAACCAGAGGGTTGGGGGGCGCCGCTGGCATTTACACACTGCCTTGTGTAAGAAGCTGGAGATCAGGGGATTAGCAGGCCGAGCCCGGCACAAACTCGGGGCTTCTATTTATTTATGTCTCTGTTTGTTTTTACAGGTTCAACCCTGCTGTAAACCTCGGAAAGCCTGATCCAGCTACTGGATACGTCAGTGCATCTTAAACGCTGCCAACTGCAAACATCCGGGGCTTGGTCTACATTAATCCACACGGCTGCTGGGAGGAGGGGGGGGGTCCTGAAGAAAAAGCCGCTTTGCTGAAAGAAATACCCCATGAGATTAGCTAGAAACGGAGGGAAAAACACACAGAAATACTGTAAGTAATCTGGGAGAAACTGACCTCAATAAAACAAGTCACAGACATAAACTCTGGTGTAACTCACAGCAATATCGGTAAGTGTGAAACGGCCTGACACACACAGCCAATTGGCTGGAGGAAAGCAGCTGTCCAATGAGGGGGCGGATGGCAGCCAGAGCTGAGTAGTACTGCAGAATAATGAGAATACTTGAGTCAGGTGACCCAGTTTCCACACCTGTTTGGCCCTGAAAATACTGCACGTCACACCACGATAGGAGGCTGAGACAGCAGAACAGTCACATGACCACCATGCACTTGCCTGACAGTACGCACACCCTCACGGCTTTATATGTGAGGGGGGCGGGGTTTAGCCATCCAGAACATCCTTTGTAAGAGACACAGAATGAGGGACTGATTTTATGTTCAAGCGAATGCTTTATGCAACGCTTGAATGACTTTCGAACCGATACGTTAACTACCTAGCGGTGTAGATTATTCTGGCAAAGAGACTGTGGAAGAGGGGACAGCCCCCCCCCAAATAATAAATCTGTCTAGCATGGTTGATGGGACCAAATGAGGCAATGAGAAAAGACAAACAAATGGAGAAACTGATGAGCACTGATCCGGCCATGACAGGTCAACGAGAGACATGCGAAAAGCATTTTAGCACAAGTTAAGAGGTCTGTCTAAACCGAGAAAACACAGGTCTTTGGAGCAGAGATGACATTCTCACGCCAGATCTGACAGTGTTCTAAAGCAAAATCGGTTTGGTAAAATTACAGATTGATTTCAGAGCCGAATCTCCCTCTCGGGCAGAACAGGCTGCTGGACAGCTGTAGCTGAGAGCAGAGACCCAACACTGAGAACCAGTCAGCGGCCAGGCAGTTTGAGAGGGTAGATCCACACAGGGGTGTGAGACCATGGGATAGTGCTGCTATAACGACGTCTCGAACGGCAAGGTCTCAAACGCTGTTCAATACCCCATCGATACGCAGGCCTGTCAGCTACAGCCCCACAGCACATCTGGCTACGCCCCCCCTGTGATTTTCCAGTTGCTGAACTGGCCATCCATCCACAGACCCCCTTCTCTGCCACCCAGGCTCATTCCAAACGTTTCAGGACCACGTTTAGCTCTCCAAGGTCAATACCGGGCCTTGCATCTCGAAAACAGCATTTCCAATGCAATTTATAGGGCCAACAGCAGAGGAACGATGACCCCGCATCAGCAGTCGCACTGTGTCCCCATCCCGGTCGTCTATGGGTCACATGAGGTCACTGACACCAGTTCCAAGGGCCCTGAGCTCACCCACTTAGGATCGTCAGTCCCACCCAGCACAGACAGGCTGTTTTTAGGTCGGAGGACCAGACGAGGAACGAAGCCGATCACGGCGTGCATTTACGCATCCCCACAAAATCCTCACTTCTACTTGGAAGTGAAAAACTTCAGAATCCATTTACAGATATTCAACAGAAATAGTTCGGATGAGGAATTTGGAGGCCGAGGAGAGGGTGTGTGAATGTGCGTCCCTGCGTGTGTGCCTGCACCTGAGCGCGTAACTGCCAGCGCGTGAAGGGACGTCTAGCTGTGAACAGATGAGCACGTGCGTAATTCTCTGTGCACCCCCCACCAACCTGCATTCCTGCGATCGTGTCAGCACGTATCCACACGTGTTGCCCTGTGTCAGTTGACTCAGTTGCTTCCATCTAAATATAGCTCCAGCGTCTGGCAAGTGGAGAGTGACTCACTCCTCTCACCCGAAAACACGCAGACCCCAAACTGCATCAGAACCCCTGGATGAGGCCAGTTACTCATTTAATTGAATCCCTCCTTCCGGGTCTCTCTCTCTGTGCCGGGTTACGGCACGACCTTGTGCTCAGTGGCAGCTTGTCCGAGTTAATCTCTCAGTCCCTGTTACCCCATGGACAGCATTGAACTTGCACAAGCGTGTGGACAAAACACACCAGCGCACACACTCCTGAGCAACCCAATTGGGAGCACTGGCTGGCTCAGGCCCAAAGCCCAGTCTGCCCAGTGTGCCATCACTCATCATTTTCTTTGGTCCCCCATTTCTCAGTCTTCGTTATCTCCATCTCATTTTCTCCTCCATCCCTCATTCTTTTACCTCTTCTCTCATTCCCTCAAGCTAGTGCTGCTTCAGGCTTTCTAACACCTCCCTCCCCCCCCCCCGTCTGTCTCTCTCTCCTCTCTCTCTATCCCCCTCCCTTGCCTGCCCATCTCTCCCTGCCTCAGTCAGCGTAGTGGAGGAAGCCGGCGCAGTCCCACAGCTGTGCTCTCTCTCTACAGCACACGCCGTTAATCACAGACACGCTCTGCAGAAAAAGACAAAAAAATAATAAGGGGGAGAAGAGCAGGATGAGATGAAGGGGCAGACGGCAGAGGCGTCTGGATGAGGGCAGGCACAACTGCAGAAGCGGCCAGGAGTGGATCTGCACTTTGCCTCATCTTTTTAGCCAGATTACCTGAGTGTGGGACTGAAATGGCACCAGAGCACTGAGATGCAGCAGGAGAGAAGAGGAGGAAGAGGAAGCAAGCGGATTCTCCCTTGACACAGAACGGACAGGACGGGCAGAGTGTCTGGCAGAGGAAGCGTCGGGGTCCAGAGCAGGCAAGAGAGCGTGCGAGAGCGAGGGAGAGAGGAGGGGAGAGCATCCTTTTTTGGGAGGAAGAATCGCTGGGCTCAGAGGAGGAAACGACTGAGCGAGTGTCCGAGCGAGGAAATTAGGTTTGTGCATTTTTGTGTTTTGCTCTCTGTGCTATATTCTGTGAAGGGCAGCTGACAGCAGGGTGGGGTGCACGTCTTGCTGGGGGGTGTAAAGGGGAACTGAGTATCAAGATTTAGAAATAAACTGGAGAGAAAATTATAGACAGAAACAAAATGTCAAGCAGTGTTTCCAGTTAGGGGTTAAAAATCAGAAAAATCGATAGGAAAAAAACAACTGTCATGTTTTTCTACATCACACAGACGTCCATCTATGCATAAAACAGAAGCCTGTCATGCCTGTCACCCCCCCTCCCCCACATGCACACGCCTACACACACACAGAGGTAAACGAGCTACTTGTTTAAAGGTGCGGATTTGAGGGACGTCTTCATTTACAGGAGACTGACACGCTACTGGAGGAGGCAAACTCCGGCCGTTTGGGGAACGATCGGAGGCTGCCGGACACACAGAACGTGAAGGTGTGGATGGAAGGAGAGAAGCCTGTCAGTGACAGACGAGCAGACGGATAACAGGAGGAGAGGACAGGAGCTGAAACACTGCGCAGTGTCAACCTGCTGGACGTGTTCACTGACACTCAAAGCTCCTTTTCCTTGCAGGATAGCCTCCTTTCCTGCCACCTCCCACCCTGTGGCTGCCCCTGCTTTCCACACCAGGCTTCCTCTCCTCTCCTCTTCACCTCCTTCCCCCTTTAATGCGCTTAGAGGTGTGCCACTTCGACCCACCCCGACTCTGGTCCTGACCCCAAGGGGGGGCTGGAGCAGATGCAGCTGGAGTGGGAGCCCCGGCCTGGTGACCCCCAGAATCCCAATCCCCGTGAGACTGCCCTCCTCTGGTGAGGAGAAGAACTACATGCTGTCAATAATCCAAAAAAAATATATAAAAATGACAGTCTAATTTGGGAGTAATGAAGGGAACGACATGATGGACAGCACACCAAGGGAAGTGGCAACAGACACATGGGGGTGCACTGGACCCGCAGAGGGAGGCACGAGCTGAAGAGCATGGCGGCCTGGCGGTGCTGCCCACTGTTTCAGACGACCCAGAACCCCAGGGAGAAGCTGAGCTCATGCTGACACCAGACCAGGCACCGGCGGATGGGGGGTGCGGTGTCAAGTTCCAATTCTCCTGAACTGAAACGGATACAAAATCCCAAACTGAAAGCCAGGACTCCCCTACATGCCGTCCATGCGTCCCGGGAAGAGGAGGAGGGTCTCTGTAGCCCCCGGACCTGCCAGTGACAGCCTCCCTGGGCACCCCCTGGCACGTGGAGCTGATTTGAACCCTCGGCTGACACAGACAGTGAAGGTAGAGTGCCCGGACTGGCTGCTCTGGCAAACACACACACACCTCAGAGGCTGCATGCTTGCAGATAAACACTAACTTAAGCATTTCCTTAAGAGACACTTCCTGGAAAGACGCAGACGTAGAAGGAGACATACAGGCACACTGGCCACCCCCCCCCCCAGAAAGCACATTCACATGCCTACAGAACCTCACCAGCCCTCAAGAAGAGCAGGCGTTGCACGAGTGCTTACATAAAAGACACAAACGAAAGAGCGTCGCACAGGGGCAGCACAGACAGATCAGGACAACGTTTCCATTCGTTCACAAGGGAGTCACTAACGAGCACAGTCCAAGAGAGGAACTTGCAGGCAGGAATACCGTCAGGGAAACAAACGGGAGGACGAACTGGGAAACAGAGAGGAAAACAGACAGGAAACAGACAGGAAATAATCCTGGAAAAGACAGGAAAGCAAATGAAAAAACAGAAGAAAACACACAGGAAACAGACCAGTCCTAATAAAAAATAGCATATTTGTTTGGGAATGTACCAGAGACACTAAAACATGCTTTGCTCCTTGTCCTTGTGCCCTGAGCACTCTGGGGTGTGTCAGGGTGGTTGGTGCAGAGAGCAGAGGGCGGGGGCGTTTGTCCATGCATGGATGTGGCACCCCTCTTCTTTCATGCACCCCCGCCTGGCCCCCCACCCCTGGCAGTATGTAAATGTGATGATAAGCTAATTATACTCCTCCCGGCCCACCACTGCCAGGGAAGCAGGAGCAGTGCTGCATGCATGCAATCTGTACTGCCTTTTAAGAGACGTAAGCGGGTGCAGGAGCAGTGAGTGTGTGTGTGTGTGTGTGTGTCTGAGGTTACCCTAAATTCATAGATCTGGACAGAGGCATCCCTAATTGGCCACACACAGTGGTAACAAATTCAGCTGCAACCAATCAGTGAGAGATGTGTGGAGGGAGGTCCCGTTATTCACTTACACTCTATCTCAACCATCCCATGGCTATAGCAGGACTGTCCTTGGGGACTCGACCCAACAGCCTCCTGGTTATACAGCCACACTGTCATGCAGCATGTTACTGCCTCAGCTACGACAGCAGATGAGGCTAATCGGCCTCTCAGGGGGAAAGAGGCGATGACGGCATTGGCCCGCTAGAACCACTGACGAACTGTTCTTGCAGTCCAGGGCTGTGTTTGCGTAAACGAGGCCCACAAAGGCCCAGGCACTGACATGCTGGCATGGTTAAAATACAGCCACTGCTGGTCTAATGCTTCCCCCCGCGGTGCAAGAGTCTCTATTCAAGCCTGACAGGTGCTGTGCAGGTTGGCGCTGCCAGCTGACCGACGTCTCCCCCCAGCGCACTGTGGGTAGGGACCCAGTAACACCATGTCATGAGACAGCTGTCCCTGGTGGACGGGCTTTAGGGGAAGTGAGCATGAATGCAGAGGAAGAGAGAGGAGCAGGGGGAGTAAAGAGGAAAGATGTGAAGGAAAGAAAAGATGGATGGAGGGATGAAAATAGAAGAATGTCGCTGAGGACGTGGAGTAATGATGTGCTGTTTATTAAACAATAAAGATGATAATGTCCCTTAGAATGGCCTATGGTTTATTAACTATTAATTATTAATTTCTTCATTTAGTGCCAGCTTTTGAAAAACAAAACAAGCCCCGGCAAATTAATAATTATAACTGCACAGCTCTGCCGCGGCACCCTCCCCGCTCCAGTGGCAGCCTGTTGGACCTGGCAGCGAGCTCTGCAGGGTATTCGCAGCTGCAGACGACTGGAACGAACAACAAAAACACGGGCGCACACCAGTGCTGCCCTCAGCAAAAGAGCACTTCTGTGCGAAACACGTAATTGTGCATAATGACAGCAATGGTGAGGCCAGACAGTGACGCGGGGTCCAAACGGGACCCCCGGGCCGGAGCTCCAGATGCACAGTGATCCGGTCCAGTCGCTCGCGGCAATGCCACTGGTCTGATCGGCTGCTTTGGTGCCTTTCGTTCCAGCGCCCGGCTAGAAAGGCCTTCCAGTCAAATGAGCTCAATGCTCCCCCTACTGTGCCCTGGCAGAAAGCCAGCCCCCCCCCCAGCCGGCCACCACTTCCTCACACCTGGCCAAACCAGTCTGGGCCAGTCGATAATGCGGTCGATGAGGCCACCAGCCGAAGCACACGGCATTGCGTTCCCCCGGATGGTACCCCCCCCCATGAGTATTCGTACCCCCGTCTCAGATCTCCCTACTTGGGGACAGAGCAGCTCCCCCCTGAGGTGGTGTCACAGATGCCCCCCCCAATCCCACAAAGCCCCCGCTGTCACAGGAACCGTATCCTTCAGGGAACTCGTGCTTCAGCTTCATCTTCTGCAGAGCAGATGCCAGACGGCCTCCAGGCTGAACCCGAAACAGCTGAAATCCTGCCAGGATGGAGCAGACACCCACAAATCTCAGGGAGTCAGGGAGGGACCCCCCCCTAACAGCTGTTAGGAATAGGCACCCAGTGGAGGGGATGATCCCCTCTGACTGCAAGCTGGATCAGGAGGAGGAACAGGGCTCCGGGGGGGAGGCGGGGAGGCTATTTTTATAATCTGGCTAAAGTGCCAAACTCATTAAAGTATTCAAACACAGCCTGCATCCCTCCATCTGCAAACAGCATCTCCCTCACTCCCCAAACACTCCATCCTGGCCTTCATCTCTAGGTTACACTCTCCCAGCCGCTCCCTGTCTTTTCTAATGTCATGGACCAGCCTCCCTCTGCCTCTCCAGATCCCCACATTCCCCCTTAGGACTTCTCTCCAGTCTATTCCTGGTGTCCTTCACACGCTCCCGATCCAACCAGGGAGCCTGTCTTCCATCCCCCCACAGAACACCGACTGACACTATGCTGTCCTGGATGTATCCCGTTACACATTTATATACCCCTTCAGATCCGGCATACCGGTGTGCACGCGGCGCGTCGAAGTTCCCAGATACGATCTTTTTCTCCCGCCCTACCGGGATATCCTCAGACTCATCGCTAACTGACTTAGCGCTGACAGGAGAATACAACAGCCCTGACAGAGACAAATAGGCGTAAATAGGCTGTTTCTGAACTGGGGGTGGGGGGCGAATGTAGACAGAGAAGAGCCGGTGAATACATGTGTATGTGTGTAAGAGCTGATGGAGTGCTGGTCAGTACACACGTATGTATGTGAAAATAAGAATTATGTGTGTGTGTGTGTGTGTGTGTGTTTGCAGAAACCCAGGCAGAGGCCAGAGGTTAGACTGAGGCGTAGTTGACCTCTCCGGTGCCGGGAACAGGGACCAATTGTAACCAATCCATTCCCACCATGTTCAAAGACAATAAACTTGCAAAATGAATGCACGATAAAATACATCATTAGTCACCAATTGCTTTTATTGTCGATATCCTGAACGAAGCATTTGTTGTCTGCAAAAATGTGCCCAGAAGTGATTTAGCGAAATTAAGTTGCCATAAAATGCCCTGGTCTACAGTTACCAGCTTGCTTTCACATTTCCAAACAACGGGAGATATTGTAATTTTTTTTTCCTGTAGTCCTCTCGAATCTGATCTGTCTTCCCCCACTGATTACTCTCAGTCTCTCACTCTGTGCCGGCAAATCCGATATCCAGGGTATTACCGGCAAAGAAACGAAGCTATGAGAACTTTCTAGAGAACGGAGAGTACCGATGGAGGATGAGCACAGCTCATAAGGCTGTCGTTGAAGTCTGAGCTCCTGTAGTTTATCTGTATCTCAGTTTGGGCTAATACACAGATATGCCGGTACATTCTTGACCTGCATGTGAAGGAGCAGGGGCTCCAGTTTCATTTGACCCCAACAATAACACCTTCACGATGGGGCAGGGGCATACAGCACCGACTGAGAATCATGCAACCATGTCTGTGGTTCTGATGCAGCATAAGGCCTAAATTCACACATGTATGGAAATGGTCATGTGGGAGGTGGGGCCAGGAGGGAAGGGGTGGAGTCAGCAGGTAAAGGGGGTGGAGTCAGCAGGTAAAGGGGGTGGAGTCAGGAGGTGAGCTGAGGTCAGAAAGTTGGTATATGCAGAAGGTAAAGATGGACAGGAGGCCGGGCGGCTGGGATTGATGATGGCTGCCGGGATCGTTTTGGCACCATACCCCTGGGTGGTATCTGGTTTCAGAATAAAATGAGGGCACTGCCTGGGAGCGAGGGGGGAGGGGTGCCTCAGTGACTGGAGTTACATCACCGGCAGGTTGTTTCAAGGGTAGCTGAGAGTGAAAGGAAAGAGAGAAGAGACGCAGGGATGGAGGGAGGAGAGAAAAACTGAGGCAGGTGGAGGGCAAAGTCAGGCATGATGGGAAGGGGGAGCGGGGCAGCCTGGAGTTGAGGGGCAGGGAATTGCAGTGGAAAAGGTGGATGTAATGACACAGCAGGCCATGGCGGAGGTTCTCGAGTGACGGCAGGAGGTGGAGGATCAGCCATGACCACGATTAACATCAGCTCCGGGTCCTCATTTCACAGTGTGAGCTTCTCACACCAATTCACACGGCCCGCCTCTCTGCCGCTCTCTCGCCAGCGATCTGAATGCCCAGAACCACTCTCCATCCGTCGCATCCATCCCCATCTGCTCCTTCAGCAACGCCGGCCTGTCCATCCCCTCCATCTCAATCTGCCCACCACAGTCCCGCCTCTCCTCCTCTTTTGCCTCTCTCCGTTTCTCACGCTCTCTGTCCCCTGCAGTTTCTCTGACAGGCTGCTTGCTGGTGCAGTGCCTCTGACTGAAACACGACAGTGCCTCCCCAGCCCAGTCACACCCCACCCACACATGACCTTCTGTTTCACTATTCTCCCCAGTATGGTACAGGCCTGGCTCACTGTGTTTACACTGTGCCGGTACGGCCCAGTACACCACAGGGGTAAAGCCGCTGTCCACAGCCTGACACAAACACACACACACACACACACACACACACACACACACTAACCTGCCCACAGAGACCCCAGATTTCAAAATAAAGACAGCACAGATTTTGATGTTGAAATGAAATCAGGCTGGACAATCTTGTTCACGTGAGCTAACACCATCTTCTCCTCATCCGCAGGTCTGTGAGTAACCCCCATCTACAATGCCACAAATCTCACCCCAACACCCATCCCGTAAACCGAGCCCATCCCTCACTCAGCTGCTGCCTCCAGCTGTCCAGCCTCCCAGTGCCTCACTGCCTGACGATTCCTCCACGAAGCTCCAAAGTCCCAGCAGAACTCTCCAGCCATTTGTGAAGCTCCAGCTCCACATCTGCTCCGCCTCAGCAGTGCGTGGCTCTGCCCTGCTTCCCTTTCATTGGCTGGCCTTGGTCACCAGCACCTGTCTATTGCCCGCCCTGTGGGGGAGGGGCCTGGGGGCGTCGGCAGGTGAGACGTGGGGCATGGTGTCTACCTGCCCCTTCCACTGCGTGTGCCGGAACCTGTCAGAGTCGCTGAGCACCCTGTGCGCTGACAAGGGCCTCCTGTTCGTGCCACCCAACGTCGACCGGCGCACCGTGGAGCTCCGGCTGGCCGACAACTTCATCCGCGAGGTGGGCGGTGACGACTTCGCCAACATGACAGGGCTGGTGGACCTGACCCTGTCCCGGAATACTATTCATGCCATCCGGCCGCTGGCCTTTGCTGACCTGGAGAGCCTGCGCTCGCTGCACCTGGATGGCAACCGGCTAACAGTGGTCGGCTCACGCGACCTGACGGGCCTACTCAACCTGCAACACCTCATCGTCAACAACAACCAGCTGATCGACGTGTCATCCGATGCCTTCGATGACTTCCTGCCCACGCTCGAGGACCTGGACCTGTCCTACAACAACCTGCGCAAGGTGCCCTGGGAAGCCATTCAGAACATGGCCAGCCTGCACACACTGCACCTTGACCACAACCTCATCGACCACATCATGGAGGGCTCCTTTGGGGAGATGTACAAGCTGGCTCGGTTGGACTTGACGTCAAACCGGCTGCAGACTCTGCCCCCCGACCCCCTGTTTGCCCGTTCGCAGACCGGTGTGATAAGTCCCACCCCGTACAATGCCGTGGTCAGCCTGACTTTTGGTGGGAACCCGCTGCACTGCAACTGCGAGCTGCTGTGGTTACGCCGGCTGGTGCGGACAGACGAGATGGAGACATGCGCCACCCCCATGCACCTGTCCGGCCGCTACTTCTGGTCCATCCCTGAGGAGGAGTTCATCTGTGAGCCCCCACTCATAACCCGGCACACACACAAGCTCTGGGTGCTGGAGGGCCAGCGGGCCACCCTCAAGTGCCGTGCCATCGGCGACCCTGAGCCGGTCATCCACTGGGTGTCCCCGGACGACCGCATTGTGGCCAACACCAGCCGCACCCGCTCGTACCGCAACGGCACGTTAGACATCCTGGTGACGCGGGCACGTGACGACGGCGCCTACACCTGCATCGCTATGAACGCTGCTGGTGAGGCCACCGCCCTGGTGGACCTCAAGATCATCCCACTGCCACACCGTGGCAACGGCACCACGCCCCGTGTCTACGGCCGCGACCCCGCCTCTTCTGACATCACTAATGGCAAGGGAGGCACCGACGGACCCGGGACCTCGGCTGTGGCCCGCAACATCACAGCGCAGGACAAGTCCTGGGGGAGGGGGGACAGCAGAGTGGGGGTGCTGGGGGTGACGTCGAGCACGGCGCAGGTGCACTGGCACCTCGGAAGGTCCTCGGGGGGCTACGTGGTGTGGATGTACCAGATTCAGTACAACTGCACTGCCGACGAGACCCTGGTTTACAGGTGAGCAAACCCACAATTGTCCCACCTCACAAATACCTGACTGCATCACTAGCTCTGGCGAGGCTCAGTAGAGGAATCGCCAAGGACGGAGCACCAGGCAAAGCTGCGATTCCCGGGGGGAACGACATCACTCTCCCACAAAACCAAGGAACCCAGCAAGATCAATATAAACACAATAATTAGACAAATTCCATTACGCTAAAACAGATGGCCTTTTGCATGATAAACACCATTTGCAATTTCCTAGAGCGAAATTTCCAAAACGCAGCCAGTATGTCAGGAGAAAACAAATCTATTCACTTAGGTGATTGACAGCTAACTGGAATGCATAGGCCACAAGAACGAGGTCACAGAAAGCCAGAATGTGCATGACCATCAGTCAGCAACAAGCTACTGGCCTGTTTTCATATATATCTTCATTTTGGGGGCGGGGGCACTTCACTGCAGGCATGTTAGAGTGAGGGAGAGCTGAAGGGAGTGAGGGAGACCAAGGGAGAGTTTGACAGAAGACTCTGTGCGAAGAATAATGAAGTCCTTAAATGAGCCTAAACTGTAGAGTCAATACGTATGTCACAACCCATCGTGCTGAAGGAAATGGAGTCATCTGGAACACAGAGAGGGTTACGGATGGGAATGCAGGGAAGGGCACCCGGTGGCAATAAGCTGGGGGGAGGCTGTCACTGTCGGCTCGCTTCTTCATGCTTCCATGCTCCCCTTTCTCTGCTCACATAGCCTTCCTAATCTGATGGTGTCACTTGTCATGAGAGCGTTTGACCAATGGTATCATTGCATGCCCCATGGAAACTGTTTGTGTGCTGTTTGCAATTTGGAGACTGACAGGTGAGAAAGGCGAATAGTGAAAAGGGGGAGGAGGGTGGGTATAGAGAAGGGGTAGAGGAGGGAATGGTTGGAGAGAGGGATAGGATTAGAGACGGGGCAATGGAGGGAAAGGGTGGAGAAAGGGATGGGTATAGAGAAGAGGAGGGAATGGGTGGAGAGAGAGAGAGGATGGTATAGAGAAGGGGAAGAGGAAGGAATGGGTGGAGAAAGGGATGGGTACAGAGAAGGTGTAGAGAAGGGAATGGGTGGAGAGAGAGGTGAATATAGAATTTTAATAGAATCAGCAATGCAGAACACAGAGACAAAACTCTTGGGCTGCTTCTACAAAGCTCACCGCCATCAATCACGTTCTCTGTGGGGTTTAAAATATTGCTGTGCCATGCATCTCGCACACAAACAACACAAACAGCAATGGCGAAAGCAACACTGCCATTGTGGGGATAACAGACAAAGCGCTCTTATGTTGCACTTCAAATGCAAAACAAATGCAATATATAAAGTGAACTCAAAGCACACACAGTGCAGAAAATTTTCCCCTTATTCAGAGCTGCCACAAACGTAACAAATTAAATCCAGAATGGATATGTAAATGTATTAAAAACTGACCTTGATTCTCAACTCATAATTTACAGCTAGGAGCACTTAATAGAATTCAAGCACAATGACAAAATTACTGAGGCCGTGGCAGGGTGGGGGGCTGAGGGGGTTTCAGTGTGAAGGAGGAATGGAAAGAGAAATTAAGTGATGTGTGACTAAGAAGCGGAGCGGAGGAGGGGCTAACGGCAGGTCTAAAATGGGATTTAGAAATGACACACCGTCATGGAGAGCAAGCAATTACATTTCAATGACAAACTCGGAATCACGCAGTATTGACCAATACATTTTCATTAGGTTTTATATATTGATATGGCATGGCGGATATTCTCCGTGTCGGAGTGCAACATTTAGGAGTGTGGCATTTAAAGGCTTTAAGTGCTTTTGAGGAAAAAAAAAAAAATCTGCTTCCTAAAATTTGTTGCGGAGAATCAGATGGGGGAAAATTCAGTGATAAGATTAAGCTCATGTAAAGAGTTGGGCGTCTGAACGAGAGAGAGCCGGTAATCTCCTCCTGCCTCTCATTTCTGCTCTATAAACATCTCTTCTTCTCCGCTTTTGCGTATGACTTAATCTTTCTTTGGTGTCATTTCTTAAAATGAGTAATTCTATTCACCTCATATCAAGCTTATTTAGCCTTAATTATGAGCTATTTATTACTCGTTTTCCCCGGAAATCAAGTCAGCCTCCAGTCAGTATGGTGCCCCAGTCCACTAGACTGTTGTTGCTCCAACAGGGATCTTCACTGTTCCGGATGCCTTGATCTGTTTCTCTTTTTCTTTCTCCCTGGCAGGATATTGCCCTCAACCAGCAACAGCTTCCTGCTGAAAAACCTGGTTTCCGGGGCGGATTACAACCTGTGTGTTCTGGCCATCTTCGACGACACCATCACTTCCTTGGCGGCCACCAAGGTGCTGGGCTGCGCCCAGTTCAGTACTAAGGACGATTACCCAGAATGCCGCTCACTGCAGGCTCACTTCCTGGGCGGCACGCTGACGCTGATGGTGGGCGGGGTGGTGGTGGTGACCCTGCTGGTGTTCACCGTCACCATGATGGTGAGGCACCGGGCATGCAGCAGCCACGGCGGCCCGCATGGTGACGGCGAGGAGACCGGCTGTCATGGCTCGTCCTCACCCCCTCTACCCAAAGGGACCAATGTGTACTCACAGACCAATGGGAGTGGGGGGGTGACCATGGTGGTGCTGCCCCAGCAAGAAGAGGTCAGGGGGGCACTCCCCAAGGTCAAACCTCCAACCCTCCCCAAGCCCAAGTTCGTCCCGGAGCAGTTCCGTGTGGGACCCACAAAAAACAGCTCAGGGGTGACTTTTCCAAATAAACAGCTCCTGCCTTACCCCCCCGAGGCTGAAAAAGCTGCCCTGTATCACAACCCACCTGCTCATGCCTCCACGTTACCCAAGCAGCTCAAACGGCGCCCCCTGGAGGAGGGTGACACAATCAAAAGAGCCAAACTGAGACTGCCTGTCCTATATGGGTATGACGAAGGCGTGACGGAGTGGAGGTACAGTACGGTGGGAGGGACAGTGGTGAAGCGGGGGGGAGGCAGCAACTGGAGGTCCTCCAGTGCCTACCAGAGCCCACCTCCCAGGAGCCCCTCCCCCAGCCCCAGAGTGACAGCCGGCCGATCCAGACGCAGCTCTTCTCTCGATATGGGCGAGATCGCCACCAGCGCCTACTACAGCTACGCTAAGCAGCTGAGTGTCCTGTGGACGCGGCGGAGCCAGTCGCTGCACGGCATGCTGGCCCAGTGCACTTCCACCCCTGCGGAAGCCCACACGGCCCGCGGATACTTACGCGCCTACAACACCAACAACTCCAACTGTAAGGCAGGCACTGAGGTCAAAGCCAGGCAGCTAGAGGAGAGCGTGGTGTAGGGGGGGGGGGGGGGGGGGGGGGGGGGGGGGGGGGGGGCGGGGGGGGGGGGGGGGGGGGGGGGGGGGGGGGGGGTTGGGGGCGGAGGGGTCACAGGTGGGGCCGGGACGAGCAGGGCCTAGCGTGCTCCTCACCCAACGATGGAAGTACAAATTATTACAGACCATCACACTGGATCGGCATGATATCAGCACTGGATCGGTACTGGCAGAGGGGATCAGCCAAACATCAATAAATAAATCAGTAAATAAAATGAATAACAGAGCAAAGCCGTTGTTAGAGACTTGGATTGTCAAGATGAAGCATGATGTGCACTGCACACACACAAACACACACACACACAAACACACACAAACACAAACACACACGTTTGTATCCATATGACTGTGGGGACCGTCCATTCATTTCTATGGGAAAAACCCTAATCCAAATAATGACAAGCCAAACCCCTACCCAGCCCTAACCTTAACTATAAGAAACCAAACAAAATGTAGCTCAATTGATGTGCAATTGATGGCAATTATAGATTTTTATGAAACCAAATAAATGGTCCCCAAAACATCAAAATAACAGGTTTTATCACATTGTGGGGCAATGTGATAAAACATAAACCATGCACACGCGCACACGCGCACACGCACACACACACACACACACAAACGGAAAAAGGAAATTAAATAATTAACAGGGGAAAAAAATGAGAAAGCACAGTACAAGAAAAGTAAGGGTTACACAGACACTGCCTATGTGTTTGCAGAATGGTAAAAGCAACATTTAGCAACCAAAACTCAAATTGCTGCCACTAACACCGAACATAAACTGAAGGGAAAATGTAAAATTGAAGCACTGACAGGGCTGTGGTGGAACAGAAATGCAGACCGAGGGGCCCTGACCTGGACTCAGAACTGGAATGAGGGTCCAGGAAGATGGCTCAAGTATGGACCCAGATATGGGTGGACAGAACCAGCGAAATCGAATTCAGAGCAACCATCTGTGACAACAAAGAAACATGGAGGCAGGAAGGGCTCAGGCAAGTGGGGAAGCTGCAGCAGACACTGATTAGACATGACGCTGACACTGAAACCTCAGCGTATAACAGCTATATCAGCAAGGATGGAAGCTCCCCTATTTCCCTCATGCGTAACCAACGGCGACCCAGCGGGCGCAAGCCAATCACATCTGTCGCAGGGCCAGTGATGCTCATTCCTGGCTTCTCCGCTGGTCGCTGTTTCGTTATGGAGTAAACAAGAGGGTGTGACAGAAAGAGTCAGCCTAAGGATGTGTCGGGGGAAGGCGGAATGCCATGTGTGTGTGTCTGAACTGCCAGACCTCTCAAGGACTCGTCACCCTGCCAAGTGTCCGACATAGGGTATGTGGGCTCAGTGAACACCATGCCCCCCACCCCCAAATCCCATCCAGGTGTTCTTCTAGTGCATTTTTAAGTAACGGACTACACTACAAAGAATGATTAGCGCCCTTAAGCGGAATATATAACGGATTCCTAAGGTATCTGAAGTGGATATGATTGGCTGAGGGTGGACTCGATGTTTCCTACAAAACAATGCAATGAATGTGGAAAGATGGAGAGACTGATGGAGATACTCTGCACGGAGCCATGATGGAGCACTATAAACACTACGTTAATGTATGTGGTTGCTATACATTTTCCTGTTTTCAGAATTCATTAGAACAAGATGAAGTGCCATTTTGTTTAAATAATCTTAAGTATTATGATCATTATTGCTATTATTGAGGTTATATAATTATCAAATCAATAATAACGATGATCATCCTAATAATTGTTCATGTTTTACCTTATTTTTCCAGAGTAAATATTGTTACCTCGACTTGATATTCTGATTAAAATATGAAAAAAAATCATGCATTACAAAGGATGCATTCAATGTATATGAATTAAACGAGTTTATGCAGCTACCTTTCCAACTCCCCCTGCCATAGCTCACCTTCCTCAGTGGATTAAAAAGAAATGATGGCACAGGGCGAGGCGTTCAGGTCTGTTCTGCGAGCCCTGCACGCGCATGTCTGCGTGCAGCAGTGGTGTGGCAAACAGGTGTGTACTGCAAGCCCCGTGTGCGCATGTCTTCCAGCACCAGTGATACAGCGGCCAGGTCTGTTTTGCGAGCCTTGTAGCTGCATGTCTTTGTGCAGTAGTGGTGTAGCAGCCAGGTCAGTGCTATGTACCCTGTGTGTGCATCTCTGCGTGCAGCAGAAGTGGGGCAGCCGGGTCCATACTGTGAGCACTGCAGTCGCATGTCGGCGTTCAGCTGTGCTGTGTCATGCTATTTTCTGTTCACTCGCAATTTTCTCTGTTTTATACTTCGACTGCAGCCTCTATTAGTGGGGAAGTTAAATGTGCTTATATTGCGTCTGGGGTAAAAGAAGAGGGGTGGGGGAAGTGGAACAGACTGCTGACACAGAGAAAGAGGGCTGGGGAGGCGGGGGCTGTGTGGACTGGGCTTCTAAGCTGTACCACACAGGAGCCTTAATGCTATTTACTGCTCTGCCAATAAAACCTGTTGTAGCTCAATTGATGTGCAATGAGGACGATAGAGAAAAGGAGAGGATGTCTGCGTGTGTGTCACATCGCGCACACACAGCGCAGGTGGGCGACCACTCCCACGTGCTGTGGGAATCTGTCCTCACCCTGCCTTTCAAACACATGCAGATGCAGACAAGAGCACAGCAGAATCAGACAGAAACGTGGTAACAGGACTGATTTTCTATCAGCCGTGTAAATTATTTTGTACTTAAAGTGAACTTCAAGAATATCTGCTATCAAGAACAGCTGCAGAACCATTGTGCTGATGTGAGTGTACAGTACGTGACCCCCTCCCCCCCACAGCTACTCCGAGACATGCCAACACACATCTCTCACTTTATCGATCGAGGTCGGAGCAAACACGCAGTCACGTGTAGTGCAGGAAACACAGACTGCTGTACATCGATATTCACACTTATTAATAAAAAAAAAGCTCCAGTCACCTGACTCAGACCCTCTGGGCAATATATCATCAGAGCTGCACCAAAACACACCACCCGCATGGGCGCAGGCTGGCCTGCGACGGTTGTGACAAAAAAAAATGCGACCGCAGGGCCCAGTGCACGCACACCGGAGAGGCGAGACTCACTCACCACTGCTGCCACAAATATTAATTAAAACAATCATCGTTTACGGAAAAGGCTCATCTCTCGGCATGGAGCACTTATGTGTCGTCTTTTAAATGGAGCGTCTCCGCAATAGAGGACATTTACTATGCTGATGCAGCTCGACTGAAGAAACACGACTGGCACTAAGAATAGAGGACGTGCAGGCCAGACAGCAATATTGAAACGCATGTTTAATTTCCCAGTCCTCTCCCTCCCCCTCGGCCGTCTTGCCCCCCATCATACCCTCCCCCTCGCCGACTTGCCTGCCTCCTTGTTCTCCTGCAAGGACGATACGGAGACATGGCCACTAGATTTAAGCTCAGGCACCTCCTAACCACCCGGCCTCCGATTACCTTCCATGCCGGGATGTGTGGTTGCGGCCCAGATCCTGATAAGGCCACAGAGGGAGCATCTATTACTCAATCCTGCCGATTTCATAGCGGGCATCCTATTTGTCCACCAAGTTATTACCCGACCTCTCCTCTTGCCCCCTCCCCTCCCCTCCCCGAATTCAACAGGCACACGCCTGGCCGCCCATGTCTCAGGACCCAGGGTGTCACCAGGCAATAGCTAATGCAGTGCAAACCATCTACAGTCATTAGACAGTGGAAACAGGTCACTTTCTGAATGCTTATGCATGTTTTATCTTCCTTTCCTTTTCTCTATGATGCTGAAATTGCTGTATTATTTTAAAAGGGGGGGGAGACTTCAGGAAGCAGTCCTGGAATTAAGTGCCTAGTTGATTTTTAAGACCAAACTTGTTTTCCAAAAGCAACACCCTCCTTTTTTCATTAATCAAAACTTTGGTCCACCTGGAAGAAGCAAATTTGAAAGTCATGACTATTGGCGTCTGGCTCTCTGCTGACCATGGTGACTGAGCTCCTAGAAGAGCGTAGCGGTGGATTTTGGCCTCTTTGTGGAGACAGTGCTTCCATTTTTCTATTACATATACATTTTGATCGGGACGGAAAAAAAAAATCATGAGTTTTAGAATGGAGAGGTCGAGGTAGAAGAAGCAGATGGAACGGAAACAAAGATAAAGAAGGGGAATAGGGGAGAGGGACAAAGTAAGAATGTGAATGAAATTACTCCAATACACCTGTTATCCCCCATAATCCCTGTGATCTGACCTTGGCCCCCCCTGCTATGAATCCTGATTCGGCACTCGCAGAGCTCTCTGCGTCCCAAGATGAAACAGGACACTGTTTACGGTGCCCTATCCTACGTGCATCCCAGGCCGATTCATTATTTATCTGCTCGAAATGAAAATAGCAGCCCCTCCCTCCCTGCCCCGTGCTCACGGGCCGCCCCTGCTTATCAGAGGGAACATGAGCACTCCTGTACCCTTCAAGGAACGGACGATAGAGAAGAAAAGGCCCTGTGATTCTGGTGGAGTGAGTCTGATAGACAGAGAGAAAGAGAGAGAGATGGAGGAAGACCTGAAACAGCACTCACACGTGCATGTTTGGGGGGGGGGGGGGGGCAGTGATTATTCAGATGTCACCCCCACCTAACACTGGGTTATAAATCATTATGTTTTAACTCAAAGCTTAATTAAAGGAGCTAATAAGCCTCCATCTGCCTCCACCATAGCAGACAGGTGGCATCATGGGCGCTGCTGATGCTATAGCTACACGGCCAATAGATGCTTAGCAGCTGATGTGCGGCCTGGCAGACTGAACGCAGTGATGGAAAGGCGAGCTCAGTAAGTCCAATGTGCCATGTGTCTCCAAGCTGGTAGGGGAAAGGCAATAGGCGGCAGCAGAATGTGACAATCAGGGGTGCTGTGAGTACTGCTTGGTGCACATGCCATGTGGGATTAGGGGCATCATGG